GAGTGGTCATGTCCTCATTTTATACAATAGCATAAAGGCATTATTTTATACAGCATTCCATAATTAGTAGGAATGGACATCAGTTTGACATCTGGAACTATGGCTATCTGTGTCTAAGACGTCCTCCACTGTCAGATATGTAGAGATATGTGTTCAAAATACATTACAGGTGTGAACAATTACTCTCCCTAACTAGTCAGCTATAGAGCACAGCCCCAGGTATGGCATGAGGTTCTGGTGGCTCTGAGACAATACCATTGTTCCATATCTGTAACTTGACTTTGTCAAATAGCTGTCTGTATTCATGTCCTTTCCAGGACCAATTGCAACTAAAAAATGATAATTGTCCTACTTATACTAGCAAATGATTTTAAAATAGTATTCATGATACTGAAATCCCTTACTATACATAGATCAAGGTATTGGGAACACCATCAAATACTTACTGGCAAATTTTAATAATAAAAGGAAGGTATATATGCCCACTTAAATTCACACATACTATGTTATATTTAACTATGCTAACTTAAAAGTTTTTCACTTTAAAGGATAATGATTTTTTCTGCTCCAAAGCATTTTTGCCTTAAAGGAGACAAGGCCTAAAGTATATGTCAAGTAAAAAAAAATCTAGAAACTAATCAATGGAAAGGGCTTGGCATTCCTCTAACACTGAGGTGAGGGTATGTTTATGTCTTTCCATAAAATAAATAAAGTCCCAGATAGCTCCTGATTCGATCTGGCCAGGACATTTTCCCAGAGACCACCAAGCCAATGAGGTAGATAGCAAATCCATCAAAAGGAGATGTCCCAAGAGGAAAAGAAAGCTGATAATTTGGAATGACATCAAAACTTTAACTCATCAAGCTGAGGCTTTGGGAAAGAAGATCATTATTCTACTGAACCAAAAATGATGCTGTTATGTTTACTAACTCTATTTCATGTTAATTCTCAGCTTGTCAATAGAGAATCCAAATGATTTTGTCAGAGAGCATAAAAGGCACACCTGTAATAGGAGGTAGTATAATGCTGTTTTGCCATGCTAAGAGCTGTTTTTATCCTTTAAGACAATTTGTCTGGATAAAAGATGGTATACAGTTATTTAGTCATGGGAATGAGGGATATTTTGTTTGGGCTAATCTAACTGATCAGTCCAAATGTAAAATTACAGATCTTTAGCATAATTAACTGCTCTTTAGAAAGGTTTGATAGTGCAAATTATAGTTGTATGAAGGTAGAAAAAGGGGGGAATACCTGATGCATCACTTACTAAAGTTTTCATTACTGTACCTAAAATAGCGCTATCTGTTGTCAATGGTCTAGAAAATAGCCCCTGACTTTATTTGGCACATAGTAGTCAACAAGAACAATCTTTTTGTATCAGAGGAGACCTGTCTATTCCTGAGTTTTTAAAAAAATCTATATGGCATAGGAATCACTCATATTCTTTATGGACAAATAACAGGGGACAAAATAGAATCCACCCACACCCATATTCATAGGGCTTCCCCTGATATTCCTGTCTCTAGCACATTTCTTATACTTTAAAGGTGCTTATATCCTTCCTTATTGCTATTCCACTTCTAATCACACCCTTCCACCTGACAAACAACTGCCTTTGGGATGGAGTCTGATACCCAAACCACACAAAGATTCAACAAAGAAAGAGAATTGCAGTTCCATTTCTTTTATGACCATAGATGCAAAAATACTCAATAAAATACTCACAAACAAAAGCTAAGAATACATCAAAAAGATCATCCACCATGACCAAGTAGGATTCATCCAGAGGATTCAGGAATGGTTCAACATACAAAAATCAGTGAATGTTATCCATCACATAAATAAACTGAAAGGAAAAGAACTGATCATCTCATTAGATGCCAGAAAAGTCTTTGAAAAAACATCCAACATCCCTTCATGATAAAAGTATAGGACGGAGTATGGATACAAGGAACATACATACCTAAATATAATGAAGGCAATATAAGACAAGCCCTTATTCAATGCTAACTTAAATGGAAATGCAAAGCAATTCCACTAAAATCAGGAACAAGTCATCAACATAATTTCTTAATTGCAAGTTATCTAAGGTGTAAAATTATATAAAGCATATGAGTATTAGTTATTAGCATATCAATTACATTTTACTGTTCTACTGTATCCCATTTTGTATATTTTATTTGTAATATACATAAGCAACTCCTACAATTCTATTGGGGAACTCCTACAGATGATAAATACTTTCAGCAATGTGACCGGATACAAGACTAACTAAAAAAAAAATCAGTAGCCCTCCTATATACAAATGACAAACAGACTAAGAATGAAATAAGGGAAATAACATCATTCACAATAGCCAGAAACAATATAAACTACCTTGGAGGTAACCCTAGTCAAGCAAGTGAAAGACTTGTATGATAAAAATTCGAAGTTTTTGAAGAAAGAAATTGGAGAAGATATCAGAAGTTAAAAAGATCTCCCAAGCTCAGGGATATGTAGAATTAACATAGTAAAAATGGCCAGCCTACCAAAAGCAATCTACAGGTTCAACACAATCCCCATCAAAATTCCAACACAATTTCTTACAGACCTTGAAAGGACAATAGTATATTTCATATGGAAAAAAACAAGGGTAAATAAAACAGTCCTGAACAATAAAAGAATGTCTGGAGGAATCACCATCCCTCATATATAGCTGTACTTCAGAGCTATAATAATAAAAACTGCCCATCTTCTGTAACCAGGCAAGGTTTCCAGTGGTGGGACTGGGAAACCAACCCAGCCACAAAACTTTCAACCTATAATCCATCCTGCCTACAAGTAGTGCTGGGGCAATGGAGTCACAGATCTTATGGGAGTGGCCAAACAATTACTGGTCTAGTTTGTGGGTCACACCATAAGAGGGTGCCCATACCTGACACTGACTGAGGCTGGACAGACAAGAGACCTGAGATAGAAAAAAAAACAATAAAATGATTCCAAATGATAGTCTGCTATACTCATAGATTGGTGCCCCACCCAATCATCATCAGAAAGGCTTCTAACAGCAGCTTATGGGAGCAGCTGCAGAGACCCATAGCCAAACTTCAGGCACAGTGAGAGACCAAATCAGATCTCCATCCCCTCCCCTTGGAGCTTCAGGAACCCTTCAGAAGAGGGGGAGAATTATAAAGCCTGAGGGGTTGAGGACACCAACAGAACACAGAACACAGAAGCAACTAAGTAGGGCTCATAGGTGCTCACAGAGACTGAAGCAGCAGTCAGGAAGCCTGCATGTGTCTGTGCTAGGTTTTCCGCATATATGTTATGGCTAATAACTTAGTGTTTTTGTCAGACTCCTAACAGTGGAAGTGGGGGGTGACTCTGACTCTTTTGCCTGCTCTTGGGACCCTTTTTTTCCCTACTGGGTTGCCTTACCCAGCCTTGATATGAAGGTTTGTACCTAGTCTTACTATATCTTGTTATGCTGTACTTGATTGATATCCCTGGGGAACTTCTTCTTTTCTGAAGGGAAATGGAGGAGGAGTGGATCTGGGGAAGGGGGTGGGAATACAGGGACTGGGAGGAGTAAAGAAGGGAAATAGCAGTTGGGATGTATTGAAAACAAAAAATAAGTAAATAATAGATGATAGATAGATAAATAGATAGACAAGGAAAGAAAAAAGCAAACATTAAGGGTTACTTTGAAACCAACATATCAGAAAAAGAGACAAAGATAAAAATAATCAGGATGCCTAGTAGGAAATAAAGATATTTTGACATATAAAAAACAAACAAACAAATGAAAAACTGGACTTCCTAGATTTCATCTATAAAGACCATGCATAACAAGGCCTATAGCTAGCTCTGGAACTCAATACTTCCTGTGTTAGGAAGGTGGCAAGGAGTCCCACTTCCCCACTTCAGTGCAGATGCTAGTCAGTGAAATAAGTCGAGAAAGCAAATAAAAAGAGCACAAAGAGCTGAAAGGACGAAATAAAAATTCACTATTTGCACATAGTATGACTATATAGTAAACTCCCAGGAATCAATTTTTAAAAAAAGATCTTTTTATTAAAAAAACAAATTCTTTTTTGTTTTTGTTTGTTTTGAGACAGGGTCTATCATGTAAGACTGTCTTAGAAGTCACTGTATAGATCAGGCTGGACCCAAACTCACACACAATTGAATGAGACATTCACATACCAAATCAACCATTGTTCAAATGGCTAACTTTTGCCTGTAGCTGATGTATGCAATGATGAGCCATCAGCCAATAAAGTTCTTATTTTCAAAGTTGGTGATAAGATACACAGATAGCTAAAAGAGGAGAAAGTGAGTGCTGGTTGAGGAAAGGTGGTGAAGTCAGCGCCTCTGATAGGATAATCTCACCAAAGGAGGATTTGACCATGGGAAGCCGTGCAGGCAGTGGGAGTGCAAGGGTCCCAAGGCTGGGACATGGCCGTGTCTGAGGCAAGTAGGGGGGCTGCTGTGACTGAAGGGCTTCTTACGGTTCTGGCAAGCTGAGAAACGCCGAAGGGTTTGAACAGAGAAGTGCCCGACAGTGTTGATTCTTAGTTCTTCCCAGTTCCTAACGCTCTTACCAATCCTACTCTAGCCTCACGGTCTGTGTTTATTCATTTCAAAACACTCTGCGTCTTTTTCAGTTGTTCTTTCCTCTTTCTGAGAACTGCCACTCACAGAACTAACCCAAACAGTAGCTTGCTCAGGCTGGCCTCAAACTCACAAAGTTGCTGAGAACAGATCTGAACTCTTGAACTTCCCACTTCCATGTCGGAAGGGCTGGGATACATGCATGGGCCTCCAATTCCAGTTGAGTTTCAGCAACTCCTTAAACACTTTTCCCTCCTGTGAATACAGCTTTCCCTATTAAAAGCTTGGTGTGTAGACAAATAATTACCTGTTAAGAGAAGTTCATGGTTATGTAACTGGTCAGGGTTATGTAAATATTCATGCTCCACCCTCCAGTGTGTCCACCAATCAAATAAGGGAAGGTGCTCTGGGACAGCTGGCTCTGATTGTCACACTCCTTCCACTTTGATCTACTACCCACATTCAGAGGAGAGAAACCAAGTTTCTCCTCCATGAAGCAGGTCTACAGCTGTGTGGGAAGCTATAACTTTAGTGAGTATCCCATTTTTTTTCTCCTGTGTAAGACTTTCTGCAATGATTCAGGCTTGCTTTACAATATATGTTCAGCAAACAAAACCAGCAAATCTGAAAAATGCTCCGTGAAGCCATGGATGGCAAAGGTGTTTCTCTTAGAATTTCTCAACTGCCATGTGAATTCTATTGAGGAAGTGGTGGGGAGTGAGCACCCACAGGAGGCTGCAGGCAGAGGAGCTGAGTTCCAGCTTAGGCTTTCTGGGGAGGTTGGAGTTTTTAATGTTGTGTACATGTGTTTACATGATAAAATGTTTTGAGAAAAAAATTAAGTGAGTAGGGGCCACATGTTTCTCTGTTCTTGTCTGTTTGGCCACACCCTGCTCAATGACTTATGGAAATTCATCTCCTGCCTATCCAAAGATATGCAAATTATCTCTACGAAGTTATGTTTGGGAAGTATAGAGATAGGAAATCTATGACAATACATTCTTCTCTCTAGGACAAGGGATATTCTAAAGTTGTGTGTTGAGGAAGGGGTGTCAAGGCAGGGTCCTTGTTGAGGTTAAGAACCATGGAGTTGCCGGGCGTTGGTGGCACACGCCTTTAATCCCAGCACTCGGGAGGCAGAGACAGGCGGATCTCTGTGAGTTCAAGACCAGCCTGGACTACCAAGCGAGTTCCAGGACAGCCTCCAAAGCCACAGAGAAACCCTGTCTCAAAAAAAACAATCAAACAAAAAAAAAGAACCATGGAGTTCTACTTTGCTTTAAGGCTGTATATCCATTTGGGCCAACCAGAGGGAAAGGTGTTATGGAGATATGAGAGATAGAAGAACCCTCTGCCCTGCCATTTACATGGACCCAAAACTTGTACTTCTTTTTTTTTTTTTTTTGGTTTTTTCGAAACAGGGTTTCTCTGTGGCTTTGGAGGCTGTCCTGGAACTAGCTCTTGTAGACTAGGCTGGCCTCAAACTCACAGAGATCCGCCTGCCTCTGCCTCCCGAGTGCTGGGATTAAAGGCATGTGCCACCAACGCCCGACCAAAACTTGTACTTCTGATGAGACTTTAAATACTTTCACAAGCCCATCTGGCCAGCTAGTGGTGCTTTCTTGGATTTTTTTCTTAGCAATATTTCTGTGGCTTGGTGTAAAATCCAGGTTTACTATGCAGAAGAGGTCTTTCCTTTCATCTGCAAGGGGTTTTACAAACCTGGGAAGTGGGTTGTAAGATGCTGAGATCATTGAAATGACAGGAACAAATGAGCCTTGTTAGGAAGAAAGTATATTATGGCTTTGATGGGGGGGAGGCAGTTGGCACTTCTTTTTGATTTAAAAAATATTTAAGTTTTTTATGTGAATTTTTTAAATGTTCATTTGAAATAAGTTCTTTTTGAAAGTATGTTTGTTGACAATTCCATACAAGCATAATGTGCTTTGGTCATCTGGGGAGGGGGCAGACCTTGCCTTGTCATGTTCATAGACTATTCTCCATTTGATATAAGCTTGTCTCAGTTATATTAGTGGATGAATGGATGTATTGTTCAGCTGTGCAAGTGTATGTTTGAGGGTAGTGTTTCTCTGAAATGTAGAATAATAAATTAATGAAAAATTCTTAGCCCAATGTAGCCCCTCACTTGCCAGATCCCAGCAAAAATGATAAATCCTAAAGAGACCTTCCAAAATAGCCTTTCTTCTCTTCTGTTACCCATTTTTTCTTTTCATTTAACACTATGTTTATTTGTTACTCCACTTACATGTGCCAGTCCATGACAGTAAGGAAGACCTTGTTTCTTTCATCCCCCAATATATTTTCCATAGCTGCAGCATTCTGAACTTTCAGTCAGTATTTATTGAGTAAATGAATGAACCGTACTAGCCTACAAAGATTGTGTCTGAACCAGACCAAATTCTTGCCCTGTGTTTCAATTGAACCAGGAAATGTTTATTATATTTCTTAACCCTTTAAAAATAACATTTACATTGGAAGAAAGCATTAGGGTATTACTTTTGAACAAATAGCTTCAATTTTTCATTTAAATTGCAAAATAATAGGGACAACTTAAGTAATCATCAGTTGGGAACTAGCAGCTGCTCAATACAATGCAATGCAGCTATGTTTTAAAGACAGAACAAAGAGCTCTATGTACTGATATGAAGAGGCCTCTAAAACCACAGAAGTGAAAATGGACTGGGTGGGTGGAATGGTGAGACGTTAGGCTACCTGCTGTGTATCGCTGGTGGAGAAATGAGAGTCAAATCTGAGATGCCAAGAAGCACAGTGTCTCCTGGGAGTAGAACTGGGGTTAAATTCAAAACCTTCAAGACAGGAAGGGAACTTTTTCAATGTTTATCTTTTGTGGCTTTTGAACCACTTGAAGATATTATACAAAAAGTAAAAAACCAACATGAGTTTGCTTCTAAGAACTTAGTATGCCTCCATTAGTTGAAACTTTCAGTCTCCAGCACTGGAGGGGTTGGGGGTGGTGAAAGTTGAAAGAACTTGATCCTAATTCTGTTGAGAAGTTGGAGTACAGCCAAGAGGGCAGGTAGTCACTTGCCAGCACCAGCAGAGCCCAGCAGCTCTCTTGCTACCTGGCCCTGATGTCAAACAGAATGATGTTTGAGACCTTGAGGACTTAGCTTCTGCGTGGTGCTGGCAGTTCACAGATCCCAGGGGTTGAATAAGTAACTCTCAACCTGGGTTATACATCATGACTCTGAGGAAATTTTTAAAAAACAGCATAGGCCCACTCCCTAAAATGCTGACTTAATTGGCCAATGATCCAGGCATTCGAACTTTCATAAAAAGCTTTCCTAGTGATTCAATGCATAGACAAGATATTAAGTCACTGCTCTGCTGGAATCCTGTTGGCCCAAAGTAAAACATTCAAATGAAAATCCAAAGACCGGAGATGGCCTTGACACAGAAGGGTAAAGCCTGATGCTTCCTCTGTTTAAGGTTCATTTTCTTTGACATTGAAAAACAAGGAGGCCTGAGATGGATGATCTCAGAAGGCTCAAGATCGTGGACTTGCCAGTTTCTCACACAAAGCGGTGAGACATCAGGGGTTCCTGGCTTTCAAATTCAGCCAGTGCATTATCTGGTATCTTGTCCTGTTGGATATTATCATTATATAAATGATTCCACATAGCCAGACTGCCCTACCACATAGCTAGAATCACAGTTAAAATTATGCTTTAATGATTATGAGAGTAGTATCTATTTTATTGCAGGAAAATTGTGGGAATCATAAGGAGGAGAAACTCAGTCACAATCCCTGGAACACAGAAACTGTATTTTTAATAGCCTCAGTCAAGTAAATGACATTGTGATCAAATGACTTCCCACAGAAGCAAGAAGGAGTAGGTGGCTGGGAAGGACCTCCCTCACAGAAGCCCTGTTATTATATCTCCAAGCCTGGACTCGATGGTAATAGTGTGGGTTCCTACTGGGAGTATGGGAACTGTAGCCTGTAAACCAGACAGACTCTAAACATAGACAGCGCTTTCAGACCCAGCTAGTTCTAGGCTACTCTTCATTTCCTAATCTGTAGATAACACGTAGTGTTTTTAATGTGACTTTTGGTATGACAATAGATCATAAGCCTTTGTATGATCACAAAAAGGTTGAGAAATACATGTAGAAAGCAAGAGTGTGAGGTATTCAGGAGAATGGGCTGGGCTCAGATAGTTCTGTGTTTGAATCTAGCCCATGGCTCTTCCTATATTCTCTATCTGTAGATATAGATAATAACAGCACATACTTAACAGGGTCTCTCTAAGGATTAAAGACAAAGATACACAAAGCATCAAACAGTGTTTGGCACATAGAGATGCTCAGAAAATGATGCTGAGTATGTCATGATGGATAATTATGATAGAATTTAGGTGCTTTGGGGGGCTTACTACTACTTTGAAAACAAAACTAAATGCATGCCAATTTTGCTTGTCTTTTAGCTGGATTAATCTGCATGGAAATCCCTAGTGCTAAAACACCCAACAACACTGATGCTAGTTAGCTCTTGTCACCATGGTGATGTTACTTTGTGCTAAGTATTTTCAACGACTAGCAATTCCTGGTCCTCTGAGAGTCTTGTATAAAGATTACGGAACAGTGACCCCTCAAAACTTTTCCAACTATGAGTCTATGAAACGGGACTTCAAATTAGAGATCCCAGAGTATTTCAATTTTGCAAAAGACGTCCTGGACCAATGGAGCAGTGTGGAAAAGGTATGGAACAAATGTCAGACTACAGTAACTCAACTGCAAGCGATCCTAGCCCCCAGGGGTAGTTAGCAATGGCTGGAGAGTTTCACTGCAATGAAGGGCTAATCAGTGGAAGTCAGTAGTTGCTACAGACATCTAAGGATTGAGGGACACTGATGAAGTCCCATGATGTGCGAAATAGCCCCAGAACAAGGACTTATTTGACCCATAAGGCCATCATGGCTGCTGAGAACGCCTAGGTTATACTAATGGATATTTTTTGTTATTTTTCCCCCACTTTTAAACAAAAAGGAGTAAAATGTGATTTCAAGAGTCAAATGGAAAGAAATGAAATACAGATACATCACTGGGGGAGGGGTAGGGAGAGGGAGAGTGAAAGGATGTAAGAATTCTAAGTTTGGGGGGAAAATAAGCATGTGGAAATAACCTCTGCATTATCAGTATTACGTCCTGACTAATAACTGACTTGTGAGTTTCTGCAGAGATTGTGTTTCACTAAATCAGCTGAGATATAATTTAGCTGTAAAACAACCTCTAAGTCCATGATGGCTGCACTTTCCTCAGGCTGGACAGAGACTTTGCAACCCAGCCTTCTGGTGGATAGATGGAAATGGAAGAGAAGTGAGATGGGGTTTTGAAGAACTCGGATATTTATCCAGGAAGTTTGCCAACATACTCACAGAAGCCTGTTCCTTGCAAAGGGGAGACAGAGTAATGTTGATTCTGCCCAAGATCCCAGAGTGGTGGCTTGCGAATGTGGCCTGTCTGCGAACAGGTTAGTAATGTCCACACTCCTGATGACATTTCAACAAGACAGGTTTATTCATGTAAGTAACTATGAGACATTTATCTGGGTTCTGTGTATTGCTTGGCAGTATTTAGTAACTGCTTGCCAGATATGATCCAAGGGTCCCAGGTGCATCTTAGAAGGCTACAGCTATTTCCTTCACCTTCCTTTAATCTCTCCACCATTGTGACCCTATCATGGCTAATGTTTTCTGTTAATGTTTGTGGTCATTCCCAATCTCCTGACTTTTCTCCATACTGTTTGCTATGCTTGGAACCTCTTTACCTCAAAACTAAGTACACAGCCAACGCTTACTCAACTTTCAAGTGTCAGTTTGTTTTTGCTTGCTTTTAAAGATGTAATTATTTAATATGTAAGAGTGTTTTCCCTGCATGAGTGTCTGTGTGCTATGTGCATGCCTGGTGCCTGCAGAAGCTAGATGAGGATGTCATCAGATCGCTGGGGAACTGAAGTTAAGGATGGTTGTGAACCACTAAATGGATGCTGGGAATAGTTCCTGGGTTTTCTGCAAGAGCAGCCAGTGCTCCTAGCTATCTAGGTCATCTCTCTAACTCTCTCAATCTTCAGTTTAATGTTACCTTCTCAGCCAATCATAACCTGATGTCTCAACATGGATACTCTTCCTTAAGCACCTGTTATAGTTATTTTTCTATTGCTGGAAGAGACACTATGAACAAGGCAATTTATAAAAGAAAAGCATTTAATTGGTGGCTTGCTTACAGTTCTAGAGGGTTAGTCCATTTCCATTATGGTGGGAAACAGGCATGGTGCTGGAGCAGTAGCTGAGAGCTTACATCTGATCCTCAAGCAGAAAGCGGAGAGAAGGCGCAACTGGGCCTGGCATGTTTGGATCCTCAGGGTTCACCCCCACTGAAATACAGCCTCCAACAAGGCCACATCCCCAATTGTCCCTGAATAGTCCACCAACTGGGAATCAAATATTCATGGGCCTGTGGGGGCCATTTTCATTCAAACCACCACAGTACCCTAAAGTAATATATATTACTATTTAAACTTTTGGGCATAGTATTTGCCTATGTATAACCTGAAATTTCCATGAGGGTTAGGTATGCTTCTAACAGGCCATTAACATAGCTTATCTCTAACTTTCAGTGATTAGCATATGGTAAATGTTCAGTAAAATATTTGTTGGACTAATGTACTGGTTGTCACAATATATCCCTGTATTAAGTGGCCACTCTTTCATTAGAGGACAGCTAATATATTCTATTTCATATACAATTATGAATTATACATTGGAAAAGCAAAGCCTATTTTTAAAGAGTGTTTTACAAAATGAGTACACTCATGAACATTGCTGAAACTCTCTTAGTAAAGCACTGTTTAACTGGCAAGATCATATTAATACAATAAAGGAAGTCAAATGGATGGTTGCTGGAGAAGCTTACAGGGAAAAACCAGTACAGAAGAAGCAAAGGGGTTTTGTAAGTGGAATCTATCCAGGAACATCTTCCTCTGTTTGTCCTGAAGCCACTGCTCCTCTTGTCTGCATCTTTCGTATGTGCTGCCTCTTAATTCCTCATAGATAACATTCCCCTCCAACTGGGATGTGTGCAGCTTCGATTGTTATTCAGATGCTTCAGGTTCCAGACCCTGTGGGACCCATCTGGTACTCAACTCAGTATCTTAAATATCTGAGCAGAATCTGATAGGTACAACTTTAGGATAAGCAAGTCAGAATAGTTCAGAGGCAAGTTTTGCTGATTCCTGTCACGACCACCTCGACCAGCAAGGAAGACGCGACTCAGGAATCCTTCTCACAGGCAGTTTATTCAGGACCTTGAACAAATCTTCTGACCCCAGGGAGTGCCCGCCCACAGCTTAAAAAGGCCCTTGGGCGGCCAACCCCGGTAAGCCATGTGGCGACAGCAGATAGGTCCACATACGAGGAAGCAAGCCTGATATCCAGCCTTGACCAAATAAGGAGTTGTCTATCACAGAGAGCACTTGCTATCGGGCTAGCAGAGGCGGAAGCCAGTACCATCTTAAGGGTGCGGCACTTCGCAGCTCTCTACAGATTCCAACGTGATTCCTGGGGATATTAATAGGAAGGAAGGCAAATTATTTTAAATGGTTAAGAGTGAGACAATGAACCATAAACCCATTAGTCTTAAGAATGTTAGTGTTTGTGGCACATAGTCATTTGATTTTCCTAGTCATTTTTCTCACTTAATAAATAAACAACCAGAGTCTGGGGAAATGACTCATGGGTTAAGGATGCTTGATGCTTAGTTGTGAAAACCAGAGTTTTGGATTCCAGTACCTAGTTCAGGCAGTTCACAAATGCCTGGAACTCCAGCTCCAAATGATGTAGTGCCGTCTTCTGATCTCTGCAGGCACCTAAACAGGCATGTGTGCATATACTCATAAAGACACAGACACATGCACACATGCACATTAAACAAACCTTAAAAGTCACCTTTAATCCCACTTGGGAGGCAGAGGTCGACAGATCTCTGTAAGTTTAAGGTCAGCTTGGTCTAGAAAGTGAGTTCCAAGACCATCAATGCTGTTACACAAATAAACCTTGTCTCAAAACACCACACACACACACACACACACACACACACACACCTCTTAAAAACATAGTTGAATATTGAAGTTTAACTCAATAGGACTTGTATATTGCTTAGGATTCTACACATAAATGATAACAAGATAAAGAAAGGTGAAGACACGGCTAATACATCAGTCTGGATAAGGGCTGTCTAGGGGTGACTGTGGGACTGAGAGAGGAGGCCAAGGATAGTAAACTTCAACATATTGTTAAATTCTGTTTCTTTAAATAGGTGGCTGTAGGGAAAAGGGACCAGCAAAAGACACACACTGTGCAGAGCCAAAGAAACACACTTTGTCCCTGCAACCAGAACAAAGAAATGTACCCTGACCCTGAAGCCAGTGCCAAAGAAACACACTTTGTCCCTGGAATCAGAGTCAGTGAAAGAAATGCACCCTGGCTCTAAAATTGGAGCCAAAAGGCTAAAAAGGACCAGAGAAAGAAACACAATTTGGCCCTAAAACCAGAGCCAAATCTGACCCTAATCCTGTGCAAAAAAAAAAAAAAAACAACCAATCCTCGAGCAGGAGCTCAGTATTAAAATCTGACTAATCCCCACCCTGGAAGCCCTATATAATCCCTGTGTCTGCTCAGCTTGTGGCTGTTTGTGCTACCCGGCTGTCCTCTGCCACTGTGGCAGAGGGCAGCCACTCTCCTGGATTCTTCCCTCCCAATAAACCCCTTCTATGAGCTTTGGGTGAAGATCTTTTGCAGCAGAGCAGAGCAAGCAGGGCTGTAACACTTTTGCTGGGGAAATCTTCCCCTGGCAGAGCAGAATTGTTACACTCAGCTCTCCACTCCTGGGATCAGAGCTGAACTGTTGTAACTTCCCCCAGGAAACACTCTCCTGCCGGAGGAACAAAACTGCTACTCTGGACAAACATCCCCAGCTGGAAGACCCTCTCCTGTCAGAGCAGAGCTGATACACTGGGGAAGCCTTTCTCTGAGGCAGGGCTGTAAGCTGCTAAGCTTACTGCGGCCTGTGGTAGTCCTTGGCTCCGAGCTCTAGGATACCTTTCGATCTGAGCTGTGTAACACTTAGTATTCTGTGACTCCCGAGTGCCAAAATACCTGTCCCATCCTGATCCACCTGAAATGCCTACTGTGGCATATATTGCTTATTTATGAATTGGAAACAGAAGTTGTACATATATTTTTTCCATTTCATTTTCATGTGTGGGATGCCTTGCAAATTTAGAGAAGTGCAATTGCAAGGTAACTTTAAAGGGATCTTTACTTCAGCTGTTTGTGCTTATTGTGTGTGTGTGTGTGTGTGTGTGTGTGTGTGTGTGTTCAGGTGTACAGGTGCCATGTGCTATGTGGAAGACAGACAAGTTTCAGGAGACTGTCCTTTCCTTCCACCATGGGATGCAGGGTTTGAAGTCAGTTTGCATACTTGAATGGCAAGCACTTTTACCCAATGAACCATCTCTGGCCCATGAAGGAATTTTATAAAGTGTTTAAGAAGATACTATTAAATGGCAGAGTAGTCCAATGAATTTTAATGTGACCTTAAAACAAGGAAGGCATTTGGAAATGCAGTTTTAGAAGGGTGGCATTGACTCACTGGCATAGGTATCACTGGGAATTTGTCAGAAACAAATTCTCTAGCACCACTAAACATCTGAAATTAAAACTCTGGCAAGCAGCCTAGAGATCTGTGTTTTCAGATAGATTTCAGGGATTCTGACTCACAAATTGCTTGAGAAGGGTAAAAAACATCCCATCCAGAGGTGAATGCCATCTATCATCTCTTGAAGACTGGAGGCTAAAATCGGTATAACCCAGAAGACAGATGTATGATAAATACAGAAGCAGGTAGGTGAGTAGAGAGAAACAAAGACATATTGGCAGATTCCTTCTTTAAAAGATTTGTATTTCGTATGTGTGTGTCATTTATTTTTTCAAGACAGGGAGTAAGGGCTAAGAGACCTGCTCTAGACACTACCCAGGGTTCCAAATGTACAATGCTTCTCAGGAGTGAAGGAGGGGTAAAATATTTCTATAGTAACTTCACACACAATCTGAGGGGGCATGCTCTTTATTTCAGGCGCTCTGTTTTTTTTTTTTTTTTTTTTGCTGTGCTATAAATATTTTCCAGCTATATAGACTTACAATTAGCGATTCTCCAGCTCTAGCCAGGTGCAAGGCTACAGTTCTTCAGGGTCATAGAAACAGATAAAAAGTTTTACACAAAGTGGTAACTGTCAGCCTTACTCTATGGCTCAAAGTGGAAGTGGTTAAGCCACCAAGAACTTCTAAAGGAAAAAGGGGGATTGAGAGAGAGAGAGAGAGAGAGAGAGAGAGAGAGAGAGAGAGAGAGAGAGAGAGAGAGAGAGAGAGAGAGAGAGAGAGACTAAGTTCTAAGTTATAAGGAAATCTAAGAGGGGAATACATATGCTTTGCTATTTTCTCAAATGTGTCTAGGTAAAAAAGCTAAATATTATTGTGGGGTTAGCTTGGGACAGCACATCCCTATCTGCTGGCAGAGTGAATCCTGAACACTCTTTTTATCTACCTGTCTGAGAGCTATGGCTCAACAACTTCAGACATGCCTTAATTCTTGTCCTTGGGCACCTGTGAGTGTCTCAACTGAGGTCTCTTTGCCTGCATTCTACCACTGACCAACTGTCTGCCAAGGAAGATAACTGTGGGGGTGGGGCAGACTTCTAAGTAAGGGTACTGACCATGATTACTTTCTTGCCAGAATCACACATTGCTGGGGACAGTCATCCAGTAGATCAATGCATAGGAGAAATAGTGTCCAGTAAATGATTAACATACCTTAGTGCTGTGGGAAAAACCTCCAAGCTGTAATGTGAAGGAAAGAGCTCTTCACACAAGAATCTGCAATGGGGAGAGCTGACCCATTCAGAAGGCAATATACTTTATCGCCCTGATAAATAAGGTAGCTCTGGTGAAAAGATTTAGCCTAGATGAGCTCTCACTGCATAACTCTGCGGTCCGTAGGAACAGGGTTTCTCTGTGTGGCCTTGGCTGTCATGAAACTCACTTTGTAGACCAGGTTGACCTCGAACTCATAGAGATTCGCCTGCCTCTCCCTCCCAAGTGCTGGGATTAAGGGTGTGCAACACCATTGCCTAGCTTAATTTGTTTTTAATACATTTATTAGTCAGGGTTCTCTAGAGAAACAGAACTCTTAAGATGAACATGTATGTTTATTTGAGTGGCTTACAGGTTATGGTCTGACTATTTCAACAATAGTTATCTCCCAGTGGAAAGTCCAAAAATCCAGTAGTTGTTCAGTCCATGAGGCTAGATGTCTCAGCTGGTCTTTAGTAGATATGCTGAAGAAGTAGACTCTAATGCCAGTAAAGGAATGGACTTGCCAGGGAGAGTGAGGGCAATCAGGCAAAGTACAAGCTTCCTTCTTCCACATCCTTTATACAGGCTGCTACCAGAAGGTGAGGCCCAGATTAAAAGTGGATCTTCCCACCTCAAAAGATCCAGATTTAGGGTGAGTCTTCCTTCCTCAAATGAATTAATCAAGAAAAATCCTTCATAGGTGTACTCAGACACTTGGGTTTTGGTTAATTTCAGATATAGTCAAGTTGGCAACCTAGAGTAGCCATCACATACATTCTAATTAAAACACAATTACATTACTTTCCCCTTTTCCTTCCTTCCCTTCAGCCCCTATCTTGTCCCCTCCCTCCAATGCTTCCCACACCTCTCCCTGACTCTTAAGTTGATGGACTCTTTATTATTAGATATATGTATATATAAATGCACAAACATATAATGCAACCTGCTGAGTCCTTTGTTTTTGTTTGTGACTATATAGGTTAATAGTTTGGGTGTCCATTCCTAGGAAGAGCTAATTCTCCCACTCTCTGCAGTCGTTAGTTACTTGTAGTTCTTTGTTTAGGGTGGAACTTCATGAGATTTCCCCCTTCCACATTAGCATGTCTATTGTTCAGGCAAAATATCCATTCATTCTTTGGAAAAAAAGAAAAACCAAAAGCTAAAAGCTAAAAACTAAAATGTATTAAATTTTATTCTAAACTCATTACATGCTTTAACTCATTTAATCCTGAAATAATTCCATAAGAGATATATTTTTATAATCCAAATTTTACAGCTGCAGAAAATGAGGCTCACAGAAGTGAAAGGTTTATTGGAGGATAAAGTTTATGGGTGTCTGGCTCCTAGATACCAATATATTAAATCTTACATTGTAGTTGACTATAGGCAAGATGAGGACCACAGAAAAGATTATACCTCAAGAAAAATAATCAGTGCATTGTAAAAGGTACTGGACTGGAGCAGTTACATGTCCAGCTCTGGAGTCCAGCTGCAGATTTTGATTCTTGCAATTTCACTCATTATTCATGAGCTTTGAGGCATGCTATGACTAGCTGTTTATACTGTAGATGTTTGGACAGGGATTAAATGAGTTAAAATATGCGAAATAGAATAATACCTGTCACTCAAGCACTCAACCAATGCTGAATGTTATTCTTCAATTAAATTTCCTTAAATCTCAATGTTGTAGGTAATCTTCAGACATAGGACAATCACCCAGCATTTAATGATCTTTTGTTAGGGCAAAATGGCATAGACTTGGAGACCTCTTGAAATGCAAAAAATCAGAGCAATGGAAGACAAATAGATATCTTCTCTAGTTAATTCACTAACTCTTTCTGAGACACATAAAATGTGAATGTATATCCTAACAACCATAATAGTTAACCTTGGTTTTTTTTTGTTTTTTGTTTTTTTTTTTTTGTTTTTTACGAGACAGGGTTTCTCTGTATTGTTTTGGAGGCTGTCGGTCCAGCCCAGCCTCGAACTCACAGAGATCCGCTTGCCTCTGCCTCCCCAGTGCTGGGATTAAAGGCGTGTGCCACCACCGCCCAGCGTTAACCTTGGTTTTAAATATTATTTCTTTTCTATTCCTTTAGGGACAGTTTTAATTCCAGGAACAACTCAGCTGACCCAGAAAGACATCCTCTACCGACTACAGTCTTCAAAAGTGAAATGCATTATTACAGATGATGCTTTAGCTCCAGCAGTAGACACTGTGGCAGCTAAATGTGAAAATCTCAGCTCCAAACTAATTGTGTCCCAGCACTCCAGAGAAGGGTGGGGGAATCTCAAGGAGATGATGAAGTGAGTAGTCTCAGTTTTTAAATAATGTCCCACAAAGAAAGGCAATAATAAAAACAGGATCCCATTGAGTAGCGGTGAGATAAATGCAAATACAAAGTAATAATTAACAAGAATAATTTATGATTAGTACAGAACTAACAGTGTCAAGCTTTGAAGTAAGGAAGAGTCTGGTTGAGATTGTGAAAAAGGAGTTCCTGAGACTGAAAATGGTGTACAAAAGGGTTATTAGGGAATTCTCCAGTGAAAGAAGGGAAGGATGTATGTTTGAGCAGAGGAAGAAATTAATTTCCTATGTATTCTCTATGAGGTTCTCAGTTGACACACTGGGGGACCCTGGATGTTGAATGAATCCTTAGGGCTGTAAGAATCTAAAGTAGGCAACACCAACAGTGGTCATCAGTTTTGGATGGGAGCTGTCCCTAGCAGACTTGTGATCATGAAGGTGGCTGTTCGCATCACCCAAGTAAGAGGGTGGAGGTAGAGTTAGCTTTACCTCAGGACTGAATCCAAGTTACTGATCCATAAGCTGAAGAGGCTCAAACACATGGGTTTTCAAATCCTCCTCAGAGGTCAGTCAGGCATAGAAACACTGGAGATTGTCTTTTGCAGATATGCCAGTGACAACCATACCTGTGTGAACACAAAGCACAATGAAATGATGGCCATTTACTTCACCAGTGGGACAACTGGGCCTCCAAAGATGATTGGACACACCCACAGCAGTTTTGGCTTAGGATTATCCGTCAACGGAAGGTACTCCCACAGAGTGACTGGTGGAGTAGTCTTTTACATTTGTTTCCCAAGAAATTATACATTTTTATTAATTTCTATATTTAAATTTCTACATACATTTATGTGCATGCAATTCCCACCAATTTAACAGATTTATACAACATGGCTATTTGTATTCCAGGTTCTGGCTGGATTTGACAAACTCGGATGTGATGTGGAATACTTCAGACACAGGCTGGGCGAAGTCTTCGTGGAGCAGTGTTTTTTCTCCATGGACTCAAGGAGCATGTGTGTTCGTACACCATTTGCCCCGTTTTGAGTCAACTTCCATCTTGCAAGTAAGGCAGACTAGAGGAGGTTCATGGTTAGAGATGTGCTAGCATTAGTGGTATCACTGATGGGATTGGCAGCTAACGTAAATGCGGAGATCAGAGTTTTAAGACTTCTACATCTGCAAAGACCACAAAGACGGGAAAAGAACCGAGTATGTTAACATTAAACAGTTTACATTGTGCTGTGCCTCTGGCAGATAGAATCATTTCAGTTGAGACAGTTTGTTCTTTCTAAAATGCAGACCCTGTCCAAGTTCCCCATCACTGTCTTCTGTTCTGCACCAACTGCCTACCGAATGCTTGTCCAGAGTGATACAGCCAGGTAAGACATGTTGGTAAATAGACACTCAGCCAGGGGAGAGGAGAAAAGGGAAGCTAGGAAATGAAACACTTGTCTGTTCAAACAACAGATCCAACTAGTCGGTACAGGATTTAGTGGTTTGTTTGTTTGTTTTTCTTTTCTCTTCCTCCTTTGATTTATTGCTGACATTTTAAAGATGGTTGCTATGTCCAGAGCAGGCTCCCATTAACATGGAGGGGAGCAGGAAGATTAGACTATGTTACAACTCTGAATGCAGTGGTTATAATAAAAAGGGGAAGGATATTTAATCTTTGGGGTGGCAGCTATTCCCTGAGCTGAGATAGTAGACAGGTTGCTCATTTTTGCAAATTCTCCCAGAAAACAGAAGTGAGAATGCATGCTTTAAATCTAATTCCATTTGAAATGCTTGATTTGTTGATCTGAAAAGATACTGTCACTGTGCTCATGGCTCAGAGCTCTTTCTAAAGAGAGTAAGACACAGTTTGTTCTGAGTCAAGTGTAACTATGGGTCAGGGACATGGATTCAGATGACCTCGAATGACTTGTTCCACTGTGGAAGCAATTACATGAACATTCATTGTCACAGAACAAAAGGAAGGCATGAATTAATGTCTTTGCCCAATACATTTGTGATGGCATCAGGTAGGTGGCCTACAAGGGAGCCAAAGGGGGTTCTTTCTCTTTAGATTTCTGATGTTAAAATAATAGTCTCAGTTTGAGAGTTTGTGGAAACCAGTGGTCTTTTAAGTTTAGCAAAAATATATTTCAAAAGTTTTACCTAATAAACTGATTACATATACAAGTTGGTAATAAATGACTATTAAGAGTAGCAAGGATAATTTTGGCCCTCCATCCTGGACATTCCATCTTACCACAATCGTGAAGTGCTGCCACTCAGCCTGTGAGATCTTCCACACAGATGTGGCATCTTCAGGTAACTTCAGTTCACCGCTGTGAGGTGATTTTTAATTGATGATTTAAATTATCATCACAGAGCTGGGTGTAGTGGTGTACTTAATCCTAGCATCTGAGAGGCAGAGGCCAAGTTCAAAGCCAACATGGTGTACATTGCAAGTTCCAGGGCTACATGTCTCACACACATGGGTGAGTGGGTGCATGCGTCCATCTGTTGTGTGTGTGTGCAACAAGTCATCCTCTCAGAAACAGGTCCTAATTCTCATGTCTTGCCATTTTTCTTTCTCAATCTAACTCACTCCATATTTTTGGAGAAGCTATAAGTTCAAAAGTTTGCAGCACTGTGTGAGTGCTGGGGAACCTATCAACCCTGAAGTGATGGAACAATGGAGAAGGAAGACAGGCCTAGACATCTACGAAGGATACGGACAGACAGAAACGGTACCTGCCCCACTGAAGACAGGGTTGGATGTGATTAGTCAGATAAATAAAAGCGAAGTATCTAATGTGTCCTATCATTGCTAGAGGGATAAGGAAATGTTTAGGAAACATTTTAATGAAAAGTTTGAGAAAAACTAATTGCAATAAACCTCTTATCACATTTTTTTGAGAAAAAAGATTAACTGGCTAGGGTGAGAATGTCACAATATTTTTAATGAGAAAAGTATTGGTTCTATGTGAAACAGAACATTCTAAAGACTCACAAAATAGCAAAGTGTGAGTGAGTTTCTAGGTCTCCGAAGTGTTGAGTCTGCTGGGAGACTTCTTAGAAAGCAGATGCTAAAGCACTCCTGTGACCCCAGCACTCTAAAGGTAGAGGGAAGAGGATCAAGTTCAAGATCATCCTCAGCTGCATAGTGACTTCAAGACCAACCTGGGCTATGTGAACTAGCAAATGCATAAAAGATAATATAAAATAGAACAGGCCCTTTAAAGAACTCATGTGTACTAAAAAATTGCGGAGGGTTGTAGTTTAGTGGTAGAGCACTTGCTGGCATATGGGAGACCTCAGTGTAATCCTCAGCACCACCAAAGACCTCTAGAGAAAACTAATAAAGTAGAGAACAAAATGCTTATTTTGTAGGAGTGATAAGACCATCAGAGAAATGGAAAAGTTGACATTTTCATTGGGCATGTCTTATTTACAATGTTTGAACTTCTAAACCCTGCTAATTATTACTTGGAAACACTGAAATTCCAAAATTAAATAGCAACAAAAATTGACAAATTATTTGAACACAACTAGCATAGCATCCATTGTGTTAATCTAAGTAAGATGTTAATATATCCATATAAATTATTTCTTACATCTTTATTGTGTATGGTGGCAAACTGTCAGTATCTATATTCCATGAGAGCAAAGATTTTATGGGTTTTATGTCAACCCTGATTCACAGCTAAGTTCTGCTGAATGAATGCACAATACATGAAGTAGTTTTTTAAATTACTTATCAAGTTATCTTACTTTCTTCTCCTTAACCAGGTGCTGATCTGTGGAAATTTCAAGGGGATGAAAATTAAGCCTGGTTCCATGGGAAAGCCTTCTCCTGCTTTTAATGTGAAGGTTTGCATGTCCCCTTCCAGGAGAATGTTTCCTCACTACATCAACCCATAGTCTTTTTAGATGTGATAATTCCATGCTATTTCTATACCTTAAATTCTATACCAAAAGAGAACCGGATGAGAAATGTTGGCTCAATACCCTTTTACTACTGTTGCAAACACCTATATTGTGCCAGGAATTGTAAATGGAGTTGTTCAAGCAAGAGATCATCACAATGAATTCTGGGCATTTAATTGACCCATTTAATTTCCAGAAATATCCTGAAGATACAATAATAATAGGACCATATGCAGGTGAGTATAGATAAATTAAAGAAATCACCCAGCTCATGCAGCCAGAGCCCCAGAGTGGGAACACAATCTCAAACAATCTGGTTCCAGCATCCACACTCTTGTCCACAGTATGTGGTGAGGGGGGAATGGACCTTCTGAGAGGATCAACCAGTCTCAAAGTGGCACAAGTTCAAAGCGGCTGCAGCACACTCTTCTCTTCCTGCCCATCTGCTTCCAGGCCTTCTTTAACTGAAGTCCTTATCACCATCTGATGCCTGGGTTTGGAAAGCATTTTCTTTCCCCATCTGCAACTTCGCACAGGGTTAAAGTTTTCTCAGCTCAGCCCAGCTTCACGCTGGGTGTAGACAGAGGATTTGCACTAATATTCATACAGGAAAAAAGGGGAAAGGCAATGGTGGCAAAAAGGCAAAAATGGATCAATTTCCAGAGGACAGGGCTCAGACCTACACTTAACTCAAATACAGATAGATCAGTATTTCTCAAATTCATTGTGCAAACCACAAGACTACTTGTTTGAAATATCCATTTGTATTGCTCTTCCCTGGTACATCTGATTTAATAGTGTGACACAGAACTCTGGAATCCATCCAATGACAAAGCAGTCTACAAAACTTCTTAATGGGCCCTTAGTTTTTTCTGTCTATAATTTTCCCAAAGGACATTACCAAAACATTAGTGGGTGGTAGAAGTGAGGAAACTTTTTACTATTCTTTCACAGTTTGTTTTTGCATTTTTATAATATTTTATGCAATGATAACTTAGATAAACTATACATTTAAGAGTTTAAAGTATATTTAAAATGTTTTTAAAATGTATATTATGGCCAAAATGATTCAAAGGTAAAATTTCAGTTGTGGTGTTAAATTAAAATTCCCTTAAATTAGCTGTCTGATTTATTCTAGATTTTAGATGAAAATGGCGTTATTCTTCCTCCTGGACAAGAAGGGGATATTGGTATTCAAGTTCTTCCTGATCGACCACTTGGCCTTTTTACTCATTATGTAGTAAGAACTTTATTTTAAAAATCTGTTTTCTATGTATTCTTTAAAAGTGTAATCCAAACATTTGGGATACAGAAGCAGGAAGGTCACAAATTCAAAAGCATCCTCAGTTACTACCAAGCAGCTTTGAGTCAGTCTAGAATAGCTGAGATCCTGTGCCAAACAAATTATTTGGTAACTTTCCTACTTTTTACAAAACAAGCCTAGGAACTTTGTCTTTCCTTGAGAAGTTCACTGTCCCGAATAATAACCTCACATACAGGCAATTAAAAAACTAATGCTCTTGCCAAATCATACATTGGTGCCCTCTCCTTGAAAGGGAACCATAAAAGGGAGCTCTTAGCTATGCTTTATTAACATCTGTAGATCCTTCCAACTAATAAACAGAACACACTTACTTTCCTCACATCTCACTAGCTCTCTACTTACTCCAGTGGAACAAGGAACGGGGCCAGGGAATTAAGGAAATCAATCCCAATAGATGATTTCTTATCTCTAATCATGGTAGATATTAGAGCAAAGTTTATATCGATGTACTAAGAGGTCCAGATCACACCTGCCAGTGAACTTTATGGAAGGTAGAAATGTTTTGTTTGTTCTCTTCTTATGCCAGTTACAGAACTGGTCTCTTCTTATGTAAAACAAACCAAACAAATAACACATCTGTTCTGCATTAAGCATTGTGCTTTCTTTTAACCCTTCTCTTCTTTTCCTGCCAGTGCTGGGTATTATTTAGAAAAAGGCTTAATTTTGCCTATTCTCCAGAGCTTTGGGCTGCTGCAACATTTATCTTATGATCTACATGAAATATTCTCCAGGAGTTGCATCAAGTCTTTTAACTGCAATTTATTTCTTTTATTTTGGGCTAGATCCATGCTGGCAATTCATTCTTACTTCACTCTGGCTTCTCTTCATTCTGAGGTTTCTCAAGGGAGCTGAGCTTTCTTTTTCTTTCAACACTTAAAAATGACTAGTCACATCCATAGTAATATATATATGCATATACATATCCATATATGAAATATTAACAGAATGCTATTTGTTTTGCAGGATAATCCTTCTAAAACAACCTCAACTCTACGAGGGAATTTCTATGTCACTGGGGACAGAGGATATATGGACGAAGATGGCTATTTCTGGTTTGTTGCAAGATCAGACGATATTATATTATCCTCTGGGTAACTTTCCTTTCCATGCATTCATGTCTATTTAACAAGCATTCTGGGATGAATTTACAACTCACCCTTATGAGTCCCTGTCATATGTTTTCCTAGCTACAGAATTGGACCATTTGAGGTAGAAAGTGCCCTGATAGAGCACCCTTCCATTGCAGAGTCAGCTGTTGTCAGCAGCCCAGACCCCATCAGAGGAGAGGTAAAAGATTCATCTAGACTTTCAATTTTGTTGACCATCTAATCACATACTTCATTTATTTGTGTGGTTCTTTTGTGTGCTACAAACACATATGTGGGTGTTTTTTCCCTGTGTATGCATATGTGGCTATTGAGGTACATTCCTCAATCACTTCTTCATCCTAGTCTCTCCTTGAAACTGGAGCTCACTGTTTAGACTGTTTAGGCTGGTTGGTGGGTCAGTAAGCCCCTGCCCACTACCTATCTCCTTCCCCAAGTACTGGGGTGACAGATTTGTACTGTCATGCGTGGCTCCCCCCCCATAGGTCTGGGGATGGTTTATGTTTAATTACATTTTCCTTTTTAAAATGGTTTATTTGTATTTTTATGCATTGGTGTTTTGCCTGCATATACATCTGAGTGAGGATATCAGATCCCTTGAAACTGGAGTTACAGACAGTTGTGAGGTGCCATGTGGGTGCAGGGAATTGAATCTGGGGCCTCTGGAAGAACAGTCAGTACTCTTAACTGCTAAGCCATCTCTCCAGCCCCTAATTATATTTTCAAAAAAATTTAAATTGGGTGAAATGTATGCATGCTATAAGCTATTATATTTATCTACTTACTTGCTTGAGAAAAGGTCATGTGATGTAGTTCAAGAAAGATCCTATCTCTGCTTTGAAAGTATGGGGAATAGCCTTGCCTCTGATAGGCAAGTGCTCTACCACCTGGCACACCCCTACTCCTGGTCCCTAACTTCAAGTATTGACAAAAAAAAGTGCTTATGTGCACATTCAGCCACAAGACAAACATATGTGTTAAGAGTAACACAAATTTGTGTAAACTACATATAATCATGTAATAAAAATACAATCTGAATTAAGGAATATCAATGTCATAAAAGAAAGCAAAAGCCTGGGGTGTTATGTAGCTGCCGGATGAAATGATTAACTAATTTGTTCTAGTATAATAAAAACTCAAGAGTCAGAAACTAAGATAAAGAGCTGAAAAATCCAAGGAAAGCAGAGCCATTGGCTAACCCTTTCTCCAGCACCAAAAATTCCTCTGAACTCCTCCCAAGTCTCTTCCTGTCCTCTCTAGACACCCTGCAAAGCCCTCCAAGAACTTTATGGCTGATGCCAGTCAGCCAATTGCTGACTCAGTCCTAGATTCAAGGTTGCTTTATTGGCACAGTGGATTGGCTGTATGGACAATTCTCCTGCAATATTTATCCCTTTCTAAATAAAAAGCAAAAGTTTTAACTTTAACAATGCAAAACTATATACAGTAAGAACAATTACCAAGGAAGAACTATATTTACAATATCCAGTCCATTAGTATTTTGTACCTAACTTACTTCCTATTAAGGAAAACTATAACTATCTCATCTTCAGTTCCATCAAAGACCCCAGAAGGATACACTATTACCCGAGTAAACAGAAAATGCAGTGCAAGTCACTTCCAAAATAACAGAGAAATCTGGCTGCCTGGACAGTCACTCAGGGTTTCACTTCAACATTGGGACATCCATCTTCAGCCTATACCCAGAACATCTGGCAGACTTTCTTTGAAGCAGGAATTTAAAAGGACTGCCCCATCTTATCTTGGCAAAGTTCAACACTCTTTTCCTTTCTGCCCTGATAGTCCAGTTTGTACAGCATACCATCAGTAGTCAAGACAAGAGCAGTTTCTTGCCCAAATGACTAGTTTTGCCACACGGAAAGCAAACTTCTTAAGAAGTTTCTTCAGATGCCCATCATCCTCTTTGAAGTAAATTGGTGCTGCCAGGAGCAGACAGATCTCATTGTCATGAAAAGTCCTACATTAACAAAAAATTTTTAAATACCATATCCTGTAGGCCTTTGAAGTGTTTGAAGACCATCTATCTAAAATATATCTCTATTTGACCTTGAAAACATACCTAACATGACTACAAGCTTGATTGTAATAGGTGACGAACTACTACCCTGAATTTCTTTATTATCCTAAATAGTTTGTAATAATAAGTTTAAGAACTAAAAATTTTCATTACATTGTTAAATGTAAATACCTTAAACAAGAGTTGAAATATATGCACAGTATGTTCTAACAAAAATAACCTTAAATTTGTATCATACAAAAAACCGATGCCAATGTAAAATATTTGAGACTAGTGATTGTTTAAAAGTAGACTCAACAATCCATCATTTTATTCCATTATTTCTATGCTAAATCACTTTTTTTCTTCACAAAGAGATCCCTGAATTTCATCTCCTTTGTCGTTGGTTTTTTTTCTGACCATGATGAGTAACAATTTGTAACCTGTTTCAGAATATTATTTTAAGGTGTATTACTTTTGTTTATATTGTATTTGTTTAACTCTGTGAAGCTGTGCTTGTCTAAAACACTTGATAGTCTAATAAATAACTGAATGGCCAATAGGAGAGAGAAACAGGCAGGGCTGGAAGGCAGAGAGTAAAAATAGAAGGAGCAATGAGGAAAAGGAGGAGCAAGAGAACAAGGAGAGGTGGATGTCAGGGGCCAGCCACCCAGCTACACAGCAAGTCATGGAAAAAGAAATAAAGATATACAGAAATAGAGAAAGGAAAAAGACTGGAGGCAAATGGTAGTCGGGATAATTTAAGAAAAGCTGGCAAGAAACAAGCCTAACTAAGGCTGGGCATTCATAACTAAGAATAAGCCTCCATGTGTGATTTGAGAGCTGGATGGTGGGCCCACAAAAGGAGTAAAAATGACAACAACATTTTGGCACCTAAAGTGGGGCTCAACTATCCATCTAGAGCTTGGGAAAGCTGAAGAAAATATAGGGTTCCTTTAAGAAACCCTGCTGGACAGCAGAGCACTTAAACAGCATTTTGCATGCTAAATAGAAACAAACAAAAAACTAAATAAAAAACACCTGCTGCAGGCAAGCATCGGCATTCTAGAGCTGGGTGGTTGAATGTAGTTGCTGGCCAAGTACTTGGGCTTGACTTTCACAACCCCATCCAAGGGTAGGTGGGGCCAGCCTATAGAGCATGTTTAAGCTTAACAGTTTAAAGTTTGCTCGTGTAGTCAAAAAAAGACAATAGAGTAAAATTTACACAATAGTAACTAAGCCCTCTAAGTGATGCCAAACATCCATAACCCACCAAATGACCAAACACTACCCCTCACACCTCTTGGGAATGTGGGTGTTGTGTTCTATAGAATGCTTCCTGTTGTCTGGGGGCACTAGCATCTTTGGAGGACCCTGAGAAAATTGAGATAATGTTCAGGTCCCGGGAGAACTACCTGTTGTCTAGTGTCAGTGTGATGGGAAAATGTAGGGTTTATCTTGGCCGGAGCAGTCTATGAGGCTGAACCATCTCAGCAAACAGCCTTGAAGCTGTTCTGGATGTAGAACTCGGAGAAAATTACAACAGATGCACTCTGAGAGGCTGGATCACCTGGGCCATCCTATTTCATTGGTCTTGTCCCCTTGCTCTAAACTTTCAAAGGTAACATACACATCTGCATTAACACAAGTATGGGCTATACATTGAACATATGCCTGCCAAAGATGATTTTTTTGTGTTATGTTTGAGCAGGTAAAATATACATTACCTGTCGTGAAGTTTTTTTAGGGTTATTTCTTTATATTTGTAGCCAGGATTTTCAGGGGTCTCCCCCAATCAAATCTGATCTCTATCAACCTTGAGTGAATCCATAGCCTTTCATTTTCTGTGGAAACAAAAGCATAACCTCTTCCCCATGAAATTTCAGAGCAACTTAAAAGCTTATGTAACTACTTTTGTTCAACATTACATTTATTTACTTAATGTGCATGTGTGTGCTTCTGCCCTGGTGCTCATGTGGAGGCTAGAGGACAACTTTTGGGAGGTGGCTCTCTCCTTTCACTGTGAGTTCTGGGGACCAAACTCAGATGCCAGATTGGAAGCAAGTGCCTTTCCCCCCTGAACCAACTTGTTGGCCCAACATGATGGGTTGTTAGGTTAAAAAAAAAAAAAACCAAACCAAAGCAAATAAATGCAAATACCCTAAGTCTTTGTACTTTTGCTACTGTACATGTGGATCTATCTATTTTTGATGGCTTCCTATGCTCCAGATGTTATGCTAAACCTCACATTTAGGCTAGTTTTTCAAATCCTCCCTTCTTTTATAAAGAAACCAAGAAAACAGAGAGACAGTCTGAGTTTTATCAAGATCACACAACAAACTCCTTTGGATCCAGGTTGTCTGGCTTCAGGGTTCATAATATTTTGTTTTGTTATTTTTGTCTTTGTCTTTTCAATACAGGGTTTCTCTGTGTAGCCTGGCTATCCTAGAACTTGATCTGTAGATCTGACTGGTCTAGAACTCAGAGATCTGTGTTGGGATTAAAAGCCTGTGCCACCACTGCCCAGCTCAGTGTTCATACTCTTAGCCCTAACGTTACAATGTTTTTTGTAAGGTTAGTATTTTCTGTAATGGCTTATAAAAACTTAGGAAGATAAAGTACATGTTATCAGAGATATAAAAGTTAACATGTGAACCAAAAGTTGCAAAAATAACAAAAAAATAATGGGATAAAATTCTACCCACAACAAACACATGCACAGCTACACAATTTACTTATAACATTAACATGTTAATTAGGAATATTCAAGGGTTTTTGATAGACAAAAAAGGTAACAGGTCAAATTGTTTTTTTAAAAAACTTCCTTGGTAAACAATTTTCAATTTGGAAAAATTTAGTTACAAGAATTCTCACCAAGTGACTTTCCTAAGTGACTGTTTCAATAGTTTTTGATTAAGCTTTCCCTCTCAGATTAAGGAGTGCAGATAATGTAATAAAATTTCAGTTTCCTAGCCAAGTAGTGGTAATACACACCTTTAATCCCAGCACTAGGGAGACAGAAACAGGAGGATCTTTGTGAATCTGAGGGCAGCCTAGTCTACAGAGTGAGTTCCAGGCCAGCAAGAGCTACAGAGAAACCCTGTCTCAAAAAACAAAACAAAAAAATATTTTTTCAGTTTCCTAAGTACATATATTTTAATCCTAAAAGAGTTCTAAGGGCTCCTCTGGACACTAGCCCATGTTGGGACTCTGGATTTGGTGGTAAATACTGACTGCCTCAATATGCATCTAGGGGAAGAAGCAGTGTGTAGTAGTGCTGGCAGTGCTCAGGAAAGAATAAAACAATTAGACAGGATCCCACTCAAACTTCTCCCCCATCTCCATTAAAGGTTCTAAAACTCTTTTTTTCTTTTTTCTTTTTTTTTTGGTTTTTTGATACAGGGTTTCTCTGTGGCTTGGAGGCTGTCCTGGAACTCACTCTGTAGACCAGGCTGGACTCGAACTCACAGAGATCTGCCTGCCTCTGCCTCCCAAGTGCTGGGATTAAAGGCGTGTGCCACCAATGCCCGGCTAAAGGTTCTAAAACTCTTAAGTAGATCTCCTAAAACAGTGTGAGAACAGGCTGTTGGGAAGAGGATTTGTGGGTCATCATTTCTACTCCTGCTTCTCAGGTCAGAACAAAAGCAAAACGGCTAATGATATCAATTACAGCCTTGTATAAAGAAGGATGCTTGGAAAGGGCTGGGAGTGCATGTAGCTCAGTCTCAGAGGTAGAATGCTTGTTGAGTATGTACAAGTCTCTGGGTTCAAACTTTACTGACAAGGAAAAAATGAGCCAAGTGGAGTAATGTAATCCAGTACTTGGGAATCTGAGACAGAAGAACCACCGTGAGTTTAAGGCCAACCTGATCTACATGACAGTTTCAAAAAAAGAAAGAAAGAAAGAAAGAAAGAAAGAAAGAAAGAAAGAAAGAAAGAAAGAGTACTTGGTCTGAGTGAGCTGCTCCCTTCAACGAAGGCCAGGCTGAGTAGGTCCTAGAGTTCACATGAGGTTATACTCAGTGAACTGCCACACTTCTTACAGGAAGCCAAGGACATGGGTAATCAGACTTAGATAAGAACACACATTACAAAATGTAGTCAGAGCGTGGGTTCAAGGGTGATATTAAGAAGGCTGGGCTTCCTAGGCAGCTTAGGAGTGTGAGCACACAGTGGGGACTAAACTACACCGTGCCCACCCCAAAAGTTCACTCCCCTAGGCAGATTCACAGTAAGTGAAAGCAGACAAGATGTATTAAGGCACCAAACACACAACTCATCTGATGTTTTACATATTTACTTTAGGTAGTAAAGGCTTTTATTGTTCTGAATGCTGATTACAAGTCACATGATCAAGAACAACTGAAAAAGGAGATTCAGGAGCATGTGAAAAAGACTACAGCACCTTACAAATATCCCAGAAAGGTAGGCATCCTTGTTACAATGGTATTTGTTTAGTGCTTTGGAAAATTTTTGGCTCTTTGTTTTGTCCTGTTAAATGACCTTTCTCCTTAAAAATGCTACACAAGAGGTTGCAAACAGACTGATGATAATGGTCAAAATTTGAGGTTAAACTGAAACCCCTAACATAAATAAGTCAATTAGCTCATATTAAATGTAAAGAAAAACTTCAACCATCCTTTCACCTAAAAGTCAAAAGAGCTATTACATAATTGGCATGAATTGAAGTGCTGTACTAACTCCCTGCTCACCTTATGCCAACAGGTTGAATTTATCGAAGAGTTGCCAAAGACTGTCAGTGGAAAGGTCAAAAGAAGTGAACTGAGAAAAAAAGAATGGCAAACTGCTTAACTCATCCACTAATCACTCAAATATCTAAACAAGGCAGTGTTTAAGTCTGCAGGAAACACAGGTTATATGGGCAGATTGCTTCTGAATTGGATTTAAAGCATTTTGTTTGTTTTTTCGAGACAGGGTTTCTCTATGTAACTTTGTAGACCAGGCTGGTCTCAAAATAACAAAGATCCACCTGCCTCTGCCTCCCAAGCGCTGGGATTAAAGGTGGGCGCCACCACCACCCAGCTGGATTTACAGTATTTTGTAGTAAAGACGTCAGAGGCTGAATTCTGAAGTCAAATAGTGAATTCTGCTTTTATGCCAATGTTCGTGTAATTTGGCAACATAAAACGAATGTCATCAGCTTGCTGAGACGTTTAGAGGAGCAGTTTCTAAACCAAATATCTGCCCCACTGGTTTTCAAAACCTAACTGAATAATTCTAATATTAGTATACAAATCAGACAAATCTTCAAGCTTTGAAAACCTAAGTAACTTGTTTTTAGAAAATTGTCCTAATTCTTAGAATATTTACCTAAAAATTGAGTGAAGGTTTTATTAGTCATATTTTTATTCACGTAATTTAAAAATAGTTTGAAATTTGCTTCAAGGTCTAGTTATAAGAGACAGCTGCCATGTGATATGGCTACTTTGTAAATTTAACCTAATAAATATGGCTTATAAAAGTATTTTTTCCTTGTGGTTCATGATAGTTTGATAAATTCAGCAGATGTTAATATATGAAATATAGTTGTATGACATTATCCAAATATGCATGCTAGGGAATTTAAGGAATGAGGATTCCTAAAGGAACAGACCATGGACAGTTGATAGACAACTACTGGGCAAGAGTGAAAGTCATGCAATCTATTTCCCTTTTGTTTGCGTGAACTGCTCCAGTGCAGCTGTAGTCCCAAGTATGCTGACACCTCAGAACTTGAACTTGGTAATTTCATCTTTCCTGTGTGAAAGTCACATAAAGCTTACATTGAAGTAAATGATCACTTAGAAGACAACGTATCAATTTCTCATTGAAGGCCTGAGTTGTAAAGAGTTTTTAATAGGAAAACTTAATTTTCTTTCATAAATATGGCTTGTTTCTGGAGAGTTGAAAGTGAGTCCTTCTGAGGAACGAGATAGAGCTTTACTATTGGCTCTTTCCTTTTGAAGTGTTTGTTCCCATTTAAAATAACCACAGCATTTTCTGTCATCTTGGTGTTTCCCAACAGGGCAACAGTAGAAGGCTTTCCCATGGTTTGGCCCATTATTAGAAACAATAAGCCGCTTAGATCTTCTGCCACACTTGCATAAAGGAGGTGTCATTTTCCCTCTCTCCCAAGGCTCTTGTAGATTAACTGTGGATGTTAAAATGGAGGGAAGAACTTTCAGGGAAGAAGTTCCTGGGGAACAAGTAGATGCCGTAGATTTTTCCTCATGAACAGTGAAGGTCTGCTTTTTTGCTTGTGGGAAAGCTGGGGGACTACATGAATACCTTTTGGTACCACCTAAAAGAAGAGATTGTTTCCTCAGAACTGAAGGATGGGATGCATTGGCATTAAGACTGTTGGAAGTAAATGGTTTGCATTCAGGTAATTTAAAAGCAGAAGCATCTGAGCCTGGATGTTTGGCTCCTTTTACATTATAGACTGTACTGTGAGGACTCTTATATACAATAGACTTGGATGTCTCAAAGTTTTGGGGAGTTTCCTTGAGGTCTTCAAAGTTTTCATAACTAAGGATTTCTGGTTCTTTTAAAACCATCACACTCTCTCCAGAATTGAATGAAGTATCTACATTGGTGTCACTAATAGGAGGCACACAATCTTTATCTTTTTCAGCCTGAGATGATGGCAGTAAAACTACATCTTCCCACTCAGCCAACATAGGCAAACAGTCAAAAGTACAACCCACTCCTCCATCAGAAACAACATTAACAGATGGAATGGTTGTAGATACAAGTACCAAGTTGGAGTTAAGTGCTGAGGACTTTGATTTGTCATTCAATACAAGCTGTGTATTTTTTCTCTGTTTCTGCATAGAGAGAGGTGGATTCAAGGTGGGAGAACATAATTGTTCCATGGAGGTTGACGGCTTAGTAGTAAAAAGAGGAAAACATCGTTTAATGTTGTGACGATCCGCTTTAGTATTGGTCTTTGGTTGTAACTGGTCCTTTATAGAGGAATTCACAGAAGCTAAATTCATTTGAGCATTTTCCTGGGTATTTACTGTACTTTTAGACTCCTTTTGATATATGCTGGGACCCTCGATGCTAATGTTGTAAGTAGATGTTTCTTCAACTTGATCTGTACTCAAATTTTTTACCAAAATCTTGGGATTCTTCTTAGTGAGAACCTATGATTCCATAGACAAATCCATTGCTTTAGAAACTGTATAATTTCTTCAGTAGACATTATATATGACCAAAAAAAAAAAAAGAGGGAACATGCCACTAGTTTGAAATCAATATCTTAATGAATCTATTACTACTATGCTAGAGCTCAAAATGACAGAATAAAGAGGCAAGAAACACTAACCTTGTTCAAGGACCTAGTAATTTTCATTAGGCAACCATCCCTGATCATTTTCCAAGCAAGAAGAGCAGTGTTCCTAGAATCATCTAAGCCTGAGGAAATAAACGTTTTAAACATTAAATGTCATGGTACTAATATAAAGAAAGAACAGAAAACAAATCAGATTTAAAGAGAAATTGGGGAAAATTGTTAGTTTTATGGCCACCTAATCAAAAAATAAATCATAAGTTGGTCTGTGGGATGTTGTGACAACATTACCAATACAAGATGGCTTGTATTTACACAGGTGAGACTTTGTTAGACAGCTTTCAAAAAATGTGAGCAGCATTCTGTACAGACCATCATTTAAAAAAAATAGTCATGTTCAGTTTTTTTCACTAGTCCATCATATTACCTGGGCACTTGTGTTTCTATTTGATGTGCTCATTACTTATCTATTTACTTTTAAGCCAACTAGAACCACTACATGGTAATCTTTATCTAAATTCAAGAAAGTATGGTAATTTAGCTGGGTAGCAATGGTGCACACCTTTAACTCCAGCACTTGGAAGGCAGAAGCAGGCAGATCTCTGTTAGTTCAAGGCCAGCCTGGTCTATAGGCTGAGTTGCAGGACAGCCAGGATTGTTAGAAAGAGAAACCATGTCTCAAAAAAACAAAAAGAAAAAGGAAGGAAGAAAGAAACTACTAATTCACAAATCAGAAATAATTTGAGTTATATAGGTTAAGAACACTTTTTAGGCTGAAAGGTATTAATAATGGTACTACCCCTAAATGAAACTAATATGAAAGATTTTACAAAACTCAAATAACCTACAAAATGAAATGATTATCAGTTTATACGAACCAGAATGTTCTCGTCCTGAAAATTCTATTCCCACTTCCTGCAAGGCGCCACTTAGTCCTTTGGGTTTTCTCTTATAAAAAAGCTAATCAAAAGAAAAGACATATAAGTTATTTCTCTAAACTTTAAGTTCTATCAGATTTAGAATTTATTGCTGTGTTGTCTCATATATTTTAAGATATATATTTATGTGACCATTCCAAAAGAAAAATATTTGTAGAAATTCACAGTAAAAAAGAAAATGCAAACACTTTTCAAAAGAAACAAAGTGAACATGCTCCTATCTTTGATCCTTACCTTATAAGTTGCTCTGAGATCAATCCAAGAATTTAGGAACACAGGTTTTAGCAACTGCTTTCTTCTACATTCATACTCTAAGCAAACACCCAAGTCCCAGTCTGCATTGAGGATATTAAAATTAAAGTCAGTGATGTCAGTGCTTTTCTATTTACAAATAGAATGTATAAAGAAAGACAGTAGAGCTGGGCGGTGGTGGCGCACGCCTTTAATCCCAGCACTCGGGAGGCCGGGCTGGATCGATAGCTTCCAAAACAATACAGAGAAACTCTATCTCGTAAAAACCATAAAAAAAAAAAAGACAGTAGAGTAGTAAGATTAAATTTCTATGCTAATAACTAATGCTCATATGTTTTATATTTTAGACCTTATATAACTCTCTATTAAGAAATTAAGTTGACGACTGTTTCAAAATATTATCGTCTGTGTTTATGCAGGTGCACACGTGTGTGGGTACGCACATGTGCTGGTGCATGTGAGAGGATACGCAAATCAGAGGACAGCCTCGGGTGACTACTCAAGTGCCACCCATCTCACTTTGAGACAGTGTTTTAATGGCCTGGAGAATCCTGATTTTAGAAGTATGAATGAAGCCGGGAGAGGAGAGGTGAGGGGGTTGGTGGCGCACACCTTTAATCCCAGCATTTGGGAGGTAGAGGCAAGTGGATCTCTGTGAGTTCGAGGTCAGCCTGGTCTACAAAGAGAATTCCAGGACAGCCAGTGCTGTTACACAAAGAAATTCTGTCTCAAAACAAAACAAAACAAAACCAAACAAACAACAAACAAAAAACCCAAAGGTAATTTGCTTCTAGTATTTTCTGTGGTCCTTGGTTTTCTTTCCCAGGTCAATAATTCTAGCTTAACAAGAATAAAACCAGAAATATAGGACTATATAGTAGTAATGCTACTCCTTTTTTGGTAAGTGGGGCATATGTATATGTGGTATATATGTGCCACATGTTCACAAGTGTTGGGGTGCAGGTCTGTGTATATACATGCATGCTATGCTAGCCAGCTTGCTCTGGGGATTCCTTGTTTCCACCTAAGTACTTGGATTACAGATAGACCACTGTGCCCATGTGACTTTCCCATGGGTTCTGAGAATCCCAACTCTGTCCTCATGATTGTATAACCCCGGCGCTACCCATTGTGACTTATAGTCATAACTCATGTTTTTACCTGACCAAGTAAGAAAAGCACACAATTTTACTTCAGTAGAAGGCTCTGAATCCCCAGTAGCCAAAATGATTTTCTTCTGCTGCTGAATCTTATGAATCCATTTACAGAACTGAGATAAGCAAATCTTCAGAGGAACTCCTTCATCAACTTGAACCTGATTAGAGAGTCACAAAATCTGAATTCAACAAGTAACTTCTGAGCTACTGAGCATTTATTACAACTCTGCACTATGGGGGAGACAGAACAAAAACAGGTTCTGACTGACAAAGAGTTTATCTAGTATAAAGATGTTAAGACATACATTGTAGTGACTTGAATTCAGCAACATACCAGAAACTAGCCTGGTAACCCTGAAGTTTCACACAAGTGTAACACTTAAGTTCAGTCTCACAGAAATAAAAGACACTGAGATACATTACTTCTGTAAAATAAACTCTCTCTGGAGCATAAACCCTGGACTTCATGAGTCCTACATAAGCACCCTCACTCTGAGCTATAATCCTTGACCTTTATGTTTATAGCATTATTTTGATTTTTTCCAAGATTCCAGTGAACTTTTAGAGGGGACATTATTTCTCTATACACTGAATAAATTTAATTCCAAGTGACATATAGTTTTTACTTTTCTTTTTGAAGTTGACTTCTAAATTTTAAAAATTTGCATCATACCTGCTTTATTCCTGTCAGTTCTGTGCAAAACTCAGAAAGAACTGGATGTTCTTGAGGCTGAACATAAGCATGGAACTCAGATTCAATCTCTCCAGTTGCTGTACTCAACAAAACTGCCGGAAATTCAACTAAATAAAAGAAGCATGGATTAGCACTCACACATATTTTATTTGTTGCTTATTATTTATTTATTTTGAGGCAGGGTCTCAGTAAGTAGTCCTGACCGGTCTAGAATCTTTATAGATTAGCAGTTCTCAACCTGTGGGTAGGAACCCCTGGCAGGGGGTCAAGTAACTCTTTCACAGGGGTCAAATATCAGATATCCTGAATTATCAAATTTTTATATTACGATTCATAACACCAGCAAAATTAGTTATGAACTAGTAATAAAAATAATTTTAAGTTTGGGAGTCACCCCAACATGAGGAACTGTATTAAAGGGTAATAGCATTAGAAAGGTTGAGAACCACTGATACAGACCAAGCTGGCTTCAAACTCATAGAGATCCAACTGTCTCTGCCTTCTGAGTGCTGGAATCAGGGATGTGTACCACCATACCCAGCCTGACGGTAGCATTATTAAACCATCAAATGCAGCAAACGCTTATTAGAATAACCAAAGTCTGAGATGAAGTTTTTTTTTTTTTTTTGGTTTGATGAGACAGGGTTTCTCTGTATTGTTTTGGAGGCTGTCGGTCTAGCCCGGCCTCGAACTCACAGAGATCCACCTGCCTCTGCCTCCAGAGTGCTGGGATTAAAGGCATGTGCCACCACCGCCCAGCTTTTAAATATAATCTTAAAACAACTAGCTACTTTGCACAATCACATTCAGGTATGTGGATTTATCCTTTTTTTTTTTTTTTTTAAGACAAGACAGTTTTTATATTAAACTACCAGGTTACAGCATCCTGTTTGCTTACTGGCTGGTTCACATCTAGAAACTTTAAGAAGACTCATTGAGCAGTAGCTTCTGCCACTGGCAGTCCATACTTACTTATTTCAGGGCTATTGTGGTGTTTTCCATCTTTCCAGCATGTAGACTCAAAATCAATGACAATTAAGTAGTCATACAGCTGTTCTGCAAAAGACCAGAGGGTTTCTAGGCTTTGTCAATGTACCAAGTCCAAGGCTTCAAAGTGAAAACTAAACGGGACTTACTGAGTCGGCTTCCTCCTGGATTCCCGCTTGCGGGTGAAACTGATTTTCTCCTGATTAATCCAAGCTGCCTAGAAATGCAAAAATCCAATTAGATCAATAAACTCATTTATACTCCAGTTAGAATAAGCTATCAAACTAATAGCACTGAACAAATGGTAAAATCCTCATTAATGTACTATAATTGGAGTTGGGTATGGGGGCACACACCTGTAAGCTCAGTGCTCAGCAGGCCAAGGCAGACCTGAGCTTGAGAACAGCTTGGAGTACATAGGAAGACCCCGTCTCAAACAACAGCCGTGTACCGACTGAAGTAGACTAGAGCTAGACTTTACAAGATCCGGGTTCTTGTGCTAATTGCCATCCTCTCTGGGGCTTCAAGTGACTATTTGCAAACACTAATTTTTCTTTTCTTTTTTTTTTTTTTTTTTGGTTTTTCGAGCAGGGTTTCTCTGTATTGTTTGGGAGGCTGTCCTGTTTTGTAGATCAGGCTGGCCTTGAACTCACAGAGATCCGCCTGCCTCTGCCTCCGAGTACTGGGATTAAAGGCGCATGCCACCAACGCCCAGCCTGCAAATACTAATTTTACCTGATCTCCTTTTACAGCAGCACTGAGGAACTCAGATGACTCTAACGACAACTAAAGACCTTTAGTTATTGCACTTCTTAAACTCTTGTTATTTTTAAGGGGATGATGCCTGTCTCTACACCCTAAAAACCTAGGGAAGGAAGATAACCAGGGTACTACTGGAAGGCAATTTATGAGAAAAAAAAGACACCCCAATAGCAAGATACTGGAGTTCAAAGAAGGCAAAGGGTTAACCACGGTCTCATATGCAAGTGAGACAAAAATCTGATGAGTACAGCTTAACTAGCAGGTACCTGGAGTAGTTATTTTGGCTAAAAAAAAAGACAATAAGTGATGCCAGTATTTGGGGTTAAAAGTTATCGGCTACTTCATCAGCAAATACTAAACTAAGGTGGTAAACAATCTCAGGTGATAAATATGTGTGTAACCCTTATTTTATACATGAAGAAACTAGGTAATTTGCTAAAGAGGGCTATAGTACGTTAATCTCTGGTAGGGCTCTCCATCCCTGAAATCCATGCTATTCACTGATATATCACACAGATTTTTCTCTGACTGGGATTTGGTTTTGATGTTGATTTGAGACAAGGCTGACTAGGTAGATCAGGCTGGCCTCGAACCTGCTACGTTCGTATTGCAGGAGCGCTCCGCTGTGCCTGGTATTGTCACACTGTGTGGACAACCCTCAGATTTGCACAGCGTGTCCAAAAATCGAGTCCGCAGTAATTCTCACAATAAAACTGGACGCAATGGGCGCAGTGGCATCTGCCTGAGAACAATCTGCACAGCACTGCCACACTCCACGCGTTTCGCGGGGTCGAGCATGAACAGACCCGATACAGCAGCACGCCACTCAGGGAGAAGAACCCCTTCCTCGGGCTCCTCCAACCTGCCGTGGATGGCAGCGTGGGGCCCGAGACCGAAGTTGGAGCAAGGGGACCTTTCAGACCAAGACAAAACGCCTGCGGATGACCGCCAACCCTGCGAGGAAACCCCTAGCGTACCGCGCCAGCCGCTTGGTAGCCATTCCTGATGCTCTGTCCAACGGCCGGAAGTCGGCTGCCCTTGCTTCCGGCACTTTTAAAAGCTCGCGCCGCTGCGCTGGCAGGCGCGTTTGGAGCGGCGAGGGCGGTGTCAGCTATCTGTGGGGCGTGTCCGGCGCCGTCCCCGACCTGGAGGGCGTGGACAGAGGCCTGGGAAGGGCGAGCAGCTTAGCTCCGCTGCCGCAGACTGCAGGTAGCCTCTGGAGCTCCGCGACGCCTTCGGGTAGGGCGACTTGGATGTCTAGTCCTCACTTAGGGAAATGTCTCTGACGGCAAAGCGCGGTAATCTGGTTTGAGCTGCTTCGAGGGAAAAAGTTATAAACTGTCACTCCTCCTCTCCCGCGCCCCGCTAGTCTTTCCCTGCAGCGCGATGGAGCTAGAGAGAGACCAAGACGGCTCCCTAGAAGAGGAAGGAGGCGAACTCGGCCTTGGCGACAGAGCTGGGTAGGCCTCCGTGGCATCTTGAGGACACGCAGCCTAAAGCCAAGGTGAGCAAAAGAGAGCCCCAGCGGGCGGCCCAAAGCCGTTTGTGGGTCCAAGTACCCCAGCCACTTGAAGAGTCCGTGCAAAAAGATCAGGGCTCATCCACTGACTTCACTGAACCCCGTTCTCTGATCTGTCAAATAGGGATAATTTAGTAGTCCCAGAACTTGGGAGGTAGAGACAGGCACGGATCTCTGAGAGTTCAAAACCAGCCTGATCTACACAACGAGTTCGAATACAACCAGGGCAGTTATTCACAGAAACCTTGTCTCAAAAGAAAAAAAAATTAACAAAACCCGACAAAACTGACTTAATGTCTGGTACACAGAATATTTATTAAGATGTGTGCATCAGGAAATGTTCCAGGAATATCCTTGCACACCTAAACAGAATTCTCTGCTTCCATACAATTTGTATTTCTATTGGGCAAAAATAAAGCTGATTGACGTTACTAATATTGAGTAAGAGCTAAATAAAGATAGGTCATTCGTCAAGTGCTTTTCATTGTCTGTCGTGCGCCCACAGCAGTGACCTAGGCACTTGAGGTGTATTAATGAATAAATAAATAATATTGCCTTAGTGCCGTTTACATTCTAGAAAGGAGCCAAAACACTGAGATATAATTGTATGATATTTTAGAAAGGGATTAGTGTCACAATTTTTTTATTAAAATGGAATATTTATGACTTATAAAACTAGCAATAAAGAAGAAGGAAATATGAAGATATTGACAATTTCACTTGAAGATTAAAAGTGAAATATATTTGGCTTTATAGAAAAGTTGCAAAGCAATACAAACCTAGCCAACAATGGAAAATAGTTGCTGACCCAGTGCAATGCTATGTTTTTCCCTATTGGGTGATTTTATTTCCTTCAGTGCCCTACATACTCACAACACAACCATCAAAATAAGGAAATTAACATGAACATATTGATGCCATGTAATTCTCAGAGCTCATCCAAGTTTCTTATTTGATTAATCTTTTTAGCATGTGGTCTAGTGTAGAGTCATATTTACTTTTTAATGTATCTTCTTCAACTCTAATAGTCATTTGACATTTGTGACTTTATTTTCTTTTGAGGAATTCTGGATCAATTAGTTTGTTTCTTTTTTGATTGGATTGAGGTTACACATCTTTGCAGGAATATCACAGAAATGATAGTCTTTTCTTGGAGTCTGTATATGTTTTTGATTGGTCCCATTGTTCCTTGATTGCTTAAAGTAGTAAGATGGTGATACTAACCTTGATTACTTAAGATAGTAAGATGGTGTCTGCCAAGCCAAAACTCTGTAATTTTGTAGAGGACTCTTTTTCATCACCTCAATTTATCTATATGAACTCACAGGTAATTATTTTGTTCATTAAGCTATCATTGTTAATTTGTTGTTGGTTTTTTTTTTGGTTCTGGGTATTGAATATAGAACCTTGAGTACCCCCCCACACACACACACTTCTGCCTCTTTTTGATGCTCTTTCACCAAGTTGCCAAGCTTGACCTTCAGTTTGCTCTGTGGCCCAGTAGGTCTTGAACTTCTGTGATTCTCCTGCATTCTCAGAAACTGAGATTACAGCCCTATACTACCAAACTTTACTATTTATTCTTTTAATTCTTATTTTCAAAATTACTTATGTCTATTGGTTTTTGCCTGCATGTATGTCTGTGCACTATGTGCATGCCTGATGTCTGAGGAGACCTGCAGAGGGCGGTGGATCGTCTGAAACTGGAGTTAGAGCTGGTTGTGAGTCACTATATGGATGCTAGGAATTGAAGTGGGTTTTCAGGAAGAGCAGCCATTGCTCTTAACTGCTGAGCCATCTGCCCCTCTGGCTGTTTATTCTGATGTTCTAAGTAGCCAAGATTTGATCATTAACTAGGTTTTGTGTTATGACATGACTGTATCACTCTGAGCATGCTATTGCTTTCTGGTGAGAAGGGGTATCCTGGAATCAGCTTGGTTCTTTTTAGTGAAGAATTGCATTTGTAAATTTAAAGTGGGGGTATCATAGGTGGCTTTATTCTATTAGGATGTCAGTGGTCCCAAAAGATCATGTTAATGGGTATGCCTGTGCATTTGTAAATATATGCAAACCTGCATTTACATCTAGTTTCCTGAATTCATATTAATTTATTCAATTTATTTATAGTCAGAGTTCTTTGTAGTTCCTCTTTTTTCATATCTTAGCTTCTTTTCTGATAGAAATAAAACTCCTATTATTTCCAACAATTAATCCTTAATCACTGTCACCACCTCCTGAACCTACATCTTTGCCCTGCTCGGACCCAGATTAAACACATTTGAAGAGCTGTCGTTATTGTAACAGACTCTGCCAGCATCCCTGTTACATAGACACTTACCCTGTTCAGGCTCTAAATCCTGCACTAAGCACTTCAGCATACCATAGCCAGTTCCTAACATCCAGTGCTAGGGCAAAGTGTATTACCCTTCACAACATGTGGATTGCCTTGGTCTGTTCAGGTATGGTTCTGTGAGGATGTACTAGGCTTCTGTTCATAGTTCTGATCCATCTTCCTCACAAGACATCCTTCTTACTCTACTCAGGATCTTAGTATTTAATGCCTAGGAACAATGATTATTTATTACCATATAGACCTCCATCTTGCTTAATCTTTATCAGTTTCATACAGTTTGGTTTAAAAAATAAGTCAGAATTAGCAATATTTATGAAGAAGCAAAATATGTATGGTAATTTGGATGGGAAATTTATCTTGGGGAAATGAGTAGATGGATGAATAATAATATCAACAATAAGAATATTCATCCTAGGCTGGAGAGATAGCTTAGAGGTTAAGAGCACTGACTGCTCTTCCAGAGGTCCTGAGTTCAATTCCCAACAACCACATGGTGGCTCACAATTATCTACAATTCAGTCTGGTGCCCTCTTCTGGCATGTAGGCAGAACACTGTATATGTAATAAATAAATCTTAAAAAAATATTCATCCTAATATTTGTATTTTTTAAAAAATGTTTTACTAAAAGAGTTTTTAATATAAAATTTTTCTTATATATATTTTATTTTATTTTTTTGGTTTTTACAAGACAGGGTTTCTCTGTATTGTTTTGGAGGCTGTCGGTCCAGCCTGGCCTCAAACTCACAGAGATCTGCCTGCCTCTGCCTCCCGAGTGCTGGGATTAAAGGCGTGTGCCACCACTGCCCGGCTCTTATATATATTTTAATGTATTTAGTTTAAACCATTTTCACCTGTTAAAATTGGTGTTATATAAGTGATAGAGAAAACTACAGATTAGGGGTGGAGATGGTTACAAAGAAAAATGAATGTTTGTGAAATCCCTTGGGGGAAGTGTAGTACAGAGATGAAAAGAGCTTGGTCTTTAGAGTTTGCACTCCATTTGTGGTTCTATAACCTTTTACTTCATTTCTTTGTTGTAAATTGGAAGTAATGTTAGTCACCACTTAAAAGTTGTAAGAATTAGGGATGTGGCCTGACTCAGTGGTAGAGGACTTGCCTAGCAAGGACAAGGTACTGGGTTCAATCCTCAATGCCTCTAACAACAACAAACTTTCTATGAAAAAAAAAAAGGTGTGGAGCCAGATAGTGGTGGTGGTGTCGCACATCTTTAATCCCAGCACTTGGGAGGCAGAAGCAGGCAGATCTCTTGTGAGTTTGAGGCCAGCCTGGTCTACAGACCGAGTTTCAGAACAGGCTCCAAAGCTACAGAGAAACCCTGTCTCGAAAGAAAAAAAAAGTTGTAAGAATTAAATAATTTGATACAAATAAATTTCTCAAAACTTTGGCTAGGTACTGGCAATGTGGCTCAATAGTAGAACACTTACATGCCTTGCATGTACCCTGACTTCAGTCTCTACTACAGCTGCTTTAAATAGTGGTTAATAGAAATAGTCATCATTAGTTTAAAGCTATTGTATAAGTTAGGGTTTCCACTGTTGTGATAAAGCACCCTGATTTCATGACCAAAAGCAGCTTGGGGAGTAAAGGGTTTATTTTAGTTGCATGTTCAGATCATCATGTACCACCATGTCTGGCTTGAATACTTATTCTTGTACATTTGTTACCTCTATGATGATTTTTTAAAAAGATGTATTCATTTTATATTTTATGGTCAAATATTTTGCCTGCGAGTATGTGTGTGTACCACATACATGTTTGGTTTGGTACCCTTGGAGGTCAGAAGAGGGTTTACTGAAGCACCACTGTAGGTGTTGAGAATCAAACCCAGCTCTTCTACAAGAGCAACAAGTACTCAACCATTGAACTGTCTCTCCAGCTTTGCTTTATGGTTTCAGTCCATTTTCACATTTACCTCTTCATTCTCTTGTTTTTCCTACAGATGAAGACCAAATGGATAGAGATGTCAACTGTTTATGCTGGGCCATTTATCAAAAATTGTAACATTGGAGCTGTGAAGAAGATGTTTAACAGCTTGGGCCCAGTCCAATCAATAACTCTTGTTCTTGAAACTTACATGGTAAGATAAGAAAATTAAGATTTTTTAGCTTTATTTCTTAAAATCAGATGGTTATGGGAACTGTGCAGCTAACAAATTAGTGAAATGAGCTTGATTGTCTCCAGCTATGTCTGATAGGGGCAGTAGCTGACCCATGTATAATCATTTTTTCCAGATCTTATGTTTTTGTGTACTTACAATTTTTATTTTGTTTTGCTTAAAGAGAAATATACCATGTCTGCTGAAGATAGGTGTGATGGTACATGCCTTTAATCTCAGAACTCTAGGAGGCAGCGGCAGAAGGATCTCTCTGAGTTTGAGGCCAGTGTGGTCTCCATAGAAAATTCCAGGAAAGCCAGAGTTACTTAGAGAGACCCTGTCTCAAAAAAACAAAAACAACAAAATCCCTGATGGTTGAATGTAGCCTTTGTGTTAACCTCACCTTTAAGTGATAAAAAATAGCCTTTAAAAAAGAATAGTTGGATGGGGGATGATGGAGGATGGGCTGGAGAGATGGCTCAGTGGTTAAGAGCATATACTGCTCCTCTGGAGGAGCTGAGTTTAACTCCCAGCAACCACATCAGGCAGCTCACAACCAGCCCCAGGGGAATCAAAACCCTCTGGCCTCTGTGGGCATATGCATATACTCACACACAAACATACATACACATAACTAAAAATAATGCATTTGAAAAATAAAGAAAATGATACTCTTTTTTAAAAAAAAGAAAGTAGTGAAGTTATCTGGCAAAATGGTTCAGCAGATAAGGCACTTGCTATCAAATTTGATGATGTAAATTTAATTTCTAGGACTAACCACACACACACACACACACACACACACACACACACACACACACACAATAAAATTACAGAATTGTAACTTGCCTTTCTTAAGAAGTTACATAGGTATTTGTTTTGTTTTGTTTTGTTTCGAAACAGGATTTCTCTGTGTAGCCCTGGCTGCCCCGGAACTCGCTTTGTAGACCAGGTTGGTTTTGAAGAAGTTGTATAGGTTTTAACTACAGAGTAGGCTAATAGCTAGGATACAATTAAGGATGATAGATTTATAAGTGGTTTTGAGGGTGAGAGGTGTGCGTGCGTGTGTGTGTGTGTGTGTGTGTGTGTGTGTGTGTGTAACTAGGGATTAATCCTAGAGCTTTAGGCATGTTAGACAAGCACTCTACCATTGAGCTATATCCCTAACCCTTTTCATTTTAGTTTTAGAGAGGATCTCGTTGTATAACCTGTGTCATTTCTAAGATACGCAATCCTCCTAACTCAGCTTTTGAGTAGCTGACATTACAGGTGTATGCCACCATGCACTATACTCAGCTTTATTTTCATTTCCTATTTTTGAAGAGAAATGTATTTTTAGTGTATTTTTAGTTGTAAGGGGCATTGAGCAATGTAAGAAGTTCTACTGGCCTACTTTTCTTTTTAATTCTCTAGTCTATTGGAGTAAATGTGTATATTGGATTTTTATTTATAAAAATACTCTTAAGGATCTTTATGCTTTTAAAACTACTTCAATAAAAGGAAAATATTTTTAATTATTTAAATATTGACATATAATCTTAAAATTTATATAATTCAAAGGACTTAAGTAAATCTCCATCTTTATGGTCATACCATCATCAAATCATACGTAGATAAATGGCTAAGGTTGACATCTGAAGCAATAGCGTAAGCATGGAAGAAGACATGACAAGAATTAAAATAGGAGCATCGTGAAGATATCTGTAGAAGCTGGGTATGATGGTACATGAAGGCAGAGGCATCACAACTGCTGCACAGTCAAGGCACCCTGATGTAGTTCCAGGTCAGCCAGGCCTGCATAGCGAGCGTCTTTCTCCTAGGATGAGGGGTTATTTACAGAATACTATGTAGTGAGTAGTAAAGATGGAAGCCTCCAGAGGGAGGACTAAAGCAGATGAGAGAAGGACTAGGAGAAGATGTCAGTACTTTTTGTTTCTACCTTTAGAATGTGGAACTGAGGCAACTCATAACCTGGTACAATAATAACATGAAAATGAAGTAGAAGGACTTCTAAAGTTATTTTTTGTTCCTATAGCTGAAAATTTAGATACTGATTATTTCTGAGAATAGACTTGGTATTGGGAAGTTTGTTGCAAGACTGTAACCACTTATGTCTTCCTGTTGGCTTTTGTTGTTGTTTTTTGTTTTGTTTTGTTTTTGTTTTGTATCATACACCTAACATGCAATTTATCTTTCTAATCCTTTAAGTTCACAGTAAGCACACTGATATTATACAGTCATCATGAGCATCCTTCTCTATAACTTTTCATCATTCCAAACTGAAACTCCCTGTAATTTTTAAATTTCAATCTCTTAATAGATATGTGGTTTGTAGGACTTCTTCCTATTTTATGAACTGCCTTTTATAATTCGGTAGCCTTGATGGCTTTTAATTTTGAGGAAATCTAGCTTGTCTTTATTTTTCCTCCTTTGGGTCATTTTCCAAAGAAAAAAATTGTTCAAAACAATGTCATAAAACTTTTCTGTAGGAGGGCTTTTCTCTATGATGATATGTGGCTCAGGTAATTACAGTGGTTTAGTGACTTTGCATCATAAGATGTGTCCTAGCTAGTGGAAGAACTTAGCTTCCCAAATGGACTGGAAAACTGTCTAAAAATCAAGACATCTGGGAATCCCTGCTTGTGACATACATGAAGGACCATAGTGCCTTGTGATAAACATTAAGAGCAATTAGGTAGTGATGAATTTGTTAGTTTTCCTTGTATTACCATCACAGTGGGCTTTGATTTTAAATGAAAAAATAGAAGTTACTGTCTGAAAATCAATTCCTGAACTTTGGTGATTTTACTTAAAGTTGACTGACAATCTACAGTCCACTGCCTGTCTGGCCTGGCACATTAAAAGGCATCCATTGTGGTTTGGGTCCCATTCTCAGTCCCTCTCTCTAGCAGTTTGAGTTGGAAAGTAATGATGGTAAAACCTTAGTCTTTCTACAGCCTCACTTCTGTATACAGTATGAAGTCCTGGAAGCTGCTCAGCTGGCTATAGAGACCATGAATGGCATTCTGGTAGAGGTTCCTACATCAGGGTAAGGTTGTCAAAGCTGAAAGCAGCTCCCTTCACCAAAGCCTCTTTCCTGGCCTAGAAGCTGTGATCCTGCCTAAAGATGTTAAAAGCAGAAAGCAAAAGAACTACTGTTTCTTGAGTAAGTTTACTCCATTAAATGTAGCCTTGAAGGAAATTGGAAGTAGTAGTAACATGAGGTCAAAGAAGGGACTCACCAAACAAGCTCTCTTGGAGTGGACCAGGGCGGAGCTTCTAATTTTACCCTATTCCCATACTGTAGCCAGGCCTTAGTATATCTGTTGGTCTGCTCTCTTGGCCCTCAGTAACAAATGTTGGGGTTTTTCATACTTTCAGAGTTCAAAACTCGTGACAGTGCCCAGGTAGCTCTTGAAATTTTCAAAGGCAAGGACTGGAAGTTGAAAGGCAGACATGCCCTGACCCCCAGGTACCTCCAGACATGGCTTAAGGACAGACACCCTGAACCAGCAATACCTTCAGGACTTCGAATAGTACCGCCTCTCTTGGAGAAGCATGTCTTCCAGGTAATGAGTGTGTCTTGGGGTCAGTGGAGAAGGTAGCTGCTGGGGTTTCTGGTTCTGGACCCTGGCCTTCTGTTTCTGGAGCACAGTCTGGAAAAACTTTGCCCATTGGCACTACATCCTTGAGGCTTTTTATTGGTTTTTTTTTCCTGCCCTGACCCCTGTCTTATGTCACTCTCCAGCCCTGGCCATATATATGTTCTTCTCTCAGATTTCAAACACTTTTGCCCAAAAGCCCATTCTTATTCGTCAAGGTAGTTCTGTAAGGAATGTTGAGGGACCAGGGTGGGAAACTGGAGAGCTGGGTAAGTCTTAAGTGAACTGGTTCAGGGGTTCCCAAAGTATGAAACATACACAAGGTAAATTTTGACTTTCATAGGTAGACTTTGCTGTTTCCACTTTTGTAGTTTAGGACTTAAACTATACCACATCTGACCTGAGATTAGGAAGACTAAGGCAGAAGTTGACTCATTTTAAAGGACATGCCCTTATAAAGAAGTTGCATGTATAAGAGTTGAGATAGAAGGCTGCTTAAAGCTTGGGAAACTTGGCTGTAGCCTCATACTTAGCAGATGAGGGGTAGAGATTAGAGCTGGTCAGGGATTCATGCAAGGTCACAGATACCCTTAATGGCAAAGGCAACCAGGGAACCTCATCAGTGATAGGACTCCCTAGCTTAGGGCCCTTTTGGAAGATCTACTTGAAAGGATCAACAGCAGCTGTCCTCTGCCTCAAAGGTTCTAAGTTACTTAAGGTGTGTAGAGGGCTGCAGTTTCAAACAGGGATTTTTTCCAGAGTTTCCTGTGATTTTAGAACCCAAGAAAGTGCTTTAACTCTTCTAAAGGTGAACAGGTAGCTAAATGTTGACACATGACTTTGGTCCTAGACTCTGAAGGAGAACCATTCAAAGATAGTAGCTTGGCACTGTAACCAGAGGATTGAAAGGCTCTACCACAGCCTGAATCCGGTCACCCTCTGCCTCATCTTGCTGCCAGGAACCAAAAAGTAAGACTTGATGTGTTGCCCTTGGGATTCTGACCCCTGGAATTCAGCTGTTCTTGAGGAAAGGCCTTTAGTTAAGTGATGTCAAGGCACATAATGATTTCTATGAGTTTTTATCACAGTTCTAAAAGGTAGACATTACACTCCTGTTTTACTTGTATGCTAATCCTACCTTACATATCAGAAGTATGTTCTTCCCTATTCTTTCCCATGCTGCCATTTCTTCTTTTGAGGGACAGCAATTCTATCCCTCAATTCTAATTTTAACCCTAGCAAATACTGAAATAGGCTATGCAGGTCTTGTTCTAGCTCCTATTATATAAATTTGTAACCAGTGGCCAAACTACTTATACATCATAGGTCTAAGATGGAAAGGTGGTATACACCTTTAATCTCAGCATCTGGAAGACTAAA